AAAATTACACAATCACAAGTCATTCTGTATAGATTACATACACTCTAATAGCCTTACAATAAATAAACCCACAAATTACATTAACATGATGGGATTTAAAAAGGCATGAATAGCAGATCGCTTAAGAGATCTAGTGTTCGGTTTAGCAACCTGCTGTTCAAATCTATAAATGATAGTAGATCGCTTAAGCGATTTGCTTATTTGCAGATCTGGTGAACACTAGATCACTTAAGCGAACACTAAATTGCTTTAGCGATCTAATAACACCTGCTTGCTTGCTTGTGGCCTAATTGATTCTACCTTGCTTACTTCTATCTTTGAAGCTAATTTTCTTGACATGCACCTCAACGATTCTGGCAACTGCTTTTCTTACGGCCACGTTGCTTACAAATTGAGCACCTATTCATCATCTAAGGAACCTCACAGGCTGATGGAATAACTTAATTCTTTTTCTCCATTTTTTCTGTCTTCTTGAATGGCGGATGAATGATAATGTCAAGCAACTCTCACGGCATCACCCACTACATTTCTGGAGGAACTTGATATATCGTTTCTAATCAAGCTAGCATGTAATAGCTTATCGTATATAGAGGAGAGCAAAGTTCTAAGTAAATTCTTGAACTATAATATGGCTTGCGTTGTTGTCTAAGTGTTGTTAGTGCATGAGGACATGGTAAACATTGAATGTCAAGAACTTTACAACTGCAAGTTTTACTAAGAACATTAACTAGGACATCTGAACCATAGCCGCACATGGTAAACTCTTGAGCATTGAGAGGATAGACGAATTGTGCATTTGAAAGTTTAATACGTTCTCGCAATAATTTTTTAGCTGATAGAACTAGGATTGTGGTAAAATTATTTGACTCTGTACAACACTCATGGAACCAGTGTGACAATGTCCTCTGTATTGCATCAAAAAAGGCAACAATAGGAAACTCTCTTTTTGTTAACAACTTCAAATTTATGGACTCCGTTATGTTTGTAGTCATGACATCAAACCTTCTTCCAGGAAAATAAGTTCTACTTCATCACTTGAACCAATTTCATGCTCAAAATACTTAGCAATATTATCATCCTTGATTCGGATTTGCCAAAAGTACTCTTCGAACTCATCAAATCGATAAGCTTTTGTTACCATGTAATATGTCTGAAGGAGGCCAGTACACTTAAACTTTTATTTTATGTTCTCGCCAAGGTGTAACATACATAATCCATGTTGTGCTAGAATGTAAATAATGGCAATCCCCTTCTTTATAGAGTTGTAACTATCAGATATTATGCACCACTCATCACTGTCAGACACTATCGTAAGTAATTGCTTAAAAAACCAAGTCCACGACTTGTCGTTCTCAAAGTCAACCACACTCCATGCAATGGGATAGGTGTGATTCTCACAGTCTTGTGTAGTGGCCACCAACAATATACCTCCAAACTTTCTCGTCAAAAAGCAACCATTAATAATCAACACCTTTCTCATGTTTCGAGAACCCCTTATAGTAGCTTTGTAAGCAACAAAAAAAATATTTAAACCTCATATTCTTGTCCCACTTCAAAGTTGTCTTTCTACCTTGGTTTGTCAACTCAAGCATATAGCGATATGCTTCTAGTATTGTGTACCCATGCTCTGGTGTGCCCCTCACAAAATTTTGTGCATGTTGTCTCAGTTTTCAGCATTTCTAGTAACTAACATCACATTCCAACTCTATACGCACATATCTTTGAATGTCCTTAAGAGATGGACTTTTCCCTTCAACAAACTGACTTTTCACAAATTGTTCAATAATATCAGCGAAGACTTGTCGATGTTGGCCTGAAATATGTCCCAACCCACATGTGTGCCCACGGGTATATATGCTAACAATAAATTTTTCAGATCCCATATACCTTCTACAATAAACCAGACACTTGCAATTTCGATCATGACATGCAACCGTCACTATTGCTGAATTAGACTTTTTGGTAATGAACTCAAAATTACCTTTTACGGCAACAAATTTTAGCTTCCTCACTACTTCCTCCTTGTTGTCATATAAATACCCTACGTGTAAGTTTGATTGATCAGTAAAAACATGAGATGATTCACTACTACCTACAATTGCCTCTTCTAAATCTACATAAAAGACTATAGTGTTCTCTTCCTCTCAAGCTACACCTTCTACATCATCTTATAGGAATCTCTACATCCGTGGGAACATGTACGGTGTCTTTCTCGTCCACAGTTTTGTTCTGCCCCCCATGACCAATCTCTTCTACAGTGTCCTTCTCACCACCTACTCTTGATTTTTCAACAAAGAAATCAATGCCCTCGTAGTTAAAACTAAAACTAGCATTCTTCACACCAACTTGCTCGTTCTCCCCTTCCTTTGAACCAACTTCCAAAGTATTGACTACATGAAGCATATATAACTTCACATCTTCATCTGACTTTAATACAATAGGGGGTACCTTATAATGTGCAAGAACTCTACTTAAAACATACTTTACAACTATATCACTATGTTAGCAACTCAACCCACCTCTTCTAATGATATCATCAATCAACTTATGAAAACTAACTTCTATACTCACAACAATTACTATAACTTTTTGGCTCTTCCCAATCCACTTCTAGCAACCTTCGTCTTCCATCCACTCACAAAATATTCAACACCCAAAACAACTTGTTCCATGTCTAATAATAGCCAATGACCTATACTGTAAGAAAAAAAATATTATTAACTGATATATTAAGGGTTGATAGATTTTAAAGGGCATCTGTAGAGTTGTTTAAACGATCTGATAACCGATACACTAGATCGATTAAGCAATCTATTGCCAAATATCTAATCGCTTAAGTAATCTGTTGCCATATACCAGATCACTTAAACGATCCATCAACTTTTGAATCCATTTTTCATCACCTGCACATATAATCGGTTGTGGCAGTTGCTACCACCCTCAGTTACCCACAATGCAAGAAAATCATCAACAAATTTCACTCTTTTCAACTTGCATTACATCAAACACAACTCAATAACCTAAACCACTAAATCGAAATCATAACCCAAACCCAATCCATTATATCTTTTTGGATAGAAATCTAAAATACAAAAAAGAGTAATGCAAACCTAGACGAAATGTCAGCAGGAGGAGGTGGATCTTCTAGTAGAAGATGTCAATGGCGGAGGAAGAAGAAGATGTAGAGGAAGAGTAGGAGGATGAGGAGGTGGTGGGCTTCGGTTTTGCCAAGAAGAAATAGCAATAGGTAAGGGAGTTCCAACGTTAATGGAGGGAAGGAGAGAGGGGATCAAATTCTTTGTTTTAGATTTGGGTTTCTTTGCAACAATTTTGGGTTTTTGGGGACAACGATAATTTTTTAAAAATTAGTCAATGCTCCATTAATCCTAATTAAAACATGATTAATTGTCATTAATTTGTCTTAATAAAAAAACAAGTCCATTTACTAAAACTGAAGAAGTTGATGGCATTTTCATTAAATCCAAGACCAAAATGGCCTTTTAATTGCCCTCTTAAACTTTTTCAGCTAGTTAACTGGATGTTAGCTGGAGATTGAGCCCTTTCTTTATCTAAACCTACAAAAACCCTTCCTAATTTTCAGTAATTCTTCTAGCTAGAACCAACAATTCTGCGGCACAGTTATTACAAATAATCACCAGTAAGTCTCTCTCTTTTTTATTTTTTGTTTGGTTTCATCTGTAGGCATTTCTTTCTCTCTTACCTGCAATTGTTCTTGGCCAATCTTATGTGCATTTGTTGAAATTTTTGTGGATTATTTTACTTTCTATTAATATAATATAATTTTATGTTTTGGGATTCTTAATGTATGAACAAATATAAATTTTATACTTTATGTATTCATGTTACAGATTTGATGCCTGGATAGAATCTCAGAGTTGCCTACTTTTATCATTCATATAATCTTGTCTTGTCAATGGCCAAAAGAGGTAGCTCGAACTAGTATCTTGTCCAAGAGATGGTATTATTTACGGGCATCATTTCCTGTATTGGAATTTGATCAAAATCACTTCATACGAAAAGTTGGCTTACACAACCAAATTGTACCCGAGGGATAGACAAATTTCATGTAAACAGATTTATGAAATTTGTCGATGTAACCCTGCGTCGGTTCTGCAGACTTGAGTACTCCATGGAGAAATTTAAGCTATACATATGTGTTTTTAATCTTAAGATATCCTCTCGTATTGATGAATGGATACAGTTGGCAGTAGAGAAAGAGGTAAAAGAGTTTGATATTGATCTTATGGCAGATTATTTAACAGTGTACAATACAGATAGGGACGCAATGTACACTTTGCCTCAAACGATCTTTTCTGCAAAATTGCTTACTACTTTAAGGCTGTGTAGTTGTAAGATAGTGCAGCCCTCTGATGCTCTAATGTTATGTTCTCTCAAAAGTCTTACTTTAAAACAGGTCTGTATAAATGAGCAGATGGTCCACAAGTTTACTAGTGAATGCCCTTTACTTGAAGACTTGTCGATTTCCAACTGTTGGGTTTTAAGCATTTGCGTGTCTCTAAAGCTCTCAAACTCAAGTTCATTATGATTCATCAATCCTCGGATGAACTTCTTAGTGTTGAAATTATTGCTTCAAGTCTTCAAAAATCTTGGCTTGTCTTAAAATGGGAGAACAGGATATCTATTGACATGGCTGGGTGTACACATTTGAACAAGTTACATATAGGGGGTGAATCTTTTACAGACCAGGATTTTCATCACCTTATATCACAATTTCCCTTCGTTGAGCATTTGTCTGTGAGGGGGTGTAAATTCCTTGAAAGGATTATGATTTCAAGTGATAGGCTGAAAAGCTTAGCATTCGGTAGCTGTGCTAGTTTGAAGGCAATTCATCTTGATACACCAAATTTGATTTCATTCTCTTACCACTTTAGTCCATTTCCCATTGCTGTAACTAATGCTCCATGTCCACATTCGAAAGTTTGGATCTGCCCTGGAGGTGATCTTGACACTAGTTGGATCATGAATCTGAAGGAATGTCTTGGAATAGCCAATCAAATTAAAGATCTACTCATATTTTTTAGGTCGAACAAGGTATTTCAATAAATCTTACGGAATAGAATATCAAGGTTTTACTTACTTTTGCTACATTTTCTTGTCGTTTGTTGATTGCTTATTGTTTGTTGTGATTTTGCAAGATTTCATTCAATTTGGATGGAGTAAGAGAAAGTTTTGCTTCATTCCATTGTCAAGTTACTACTCTAAACCTATCTGTAGGCATGCCATTGTCAGATTACAGAGTTTTGTTAGATGGCCTTCTTTGGAGTTGTTGTCCGAGGACTTTGCATGTGAATGCAATCGAGGAAAATGAACACAAATTCCTTCAGGTGTCTTCATTTAATCTTAAATTATTGTTCTTAATATTTCTATCCTATATGAATTCATTTCATTGACATAGGATACAATTTAACGACTCAATTGTAGAACTTATTAAGATATATCTTTTAAGTTCATAATCGTTATTAAGTTTTAACAGAATTATTTGACTTGCTTGAACTACAGTGGCTATATGAGGAACTGAGGAATAGATGTGTAAATTGCTGCAATTCTCATAATATCAAGTGTTGGCGACATTACCTGAAAGATGTAAAGATTCTGAGCACCTTACAAATGGAAGATTGGAGGAGGAAAAATTGGAAGCTACTTAATAGAGATGATGATGATTTACGCGATGTTTGGGCTATCGATCAACATGTAACTATGTGCTTTGATCTTGATTGGGTTCAATAAACAAGCTTAAGTGTTATGTGAGGAGTATCCTTTGTCGAAAAGGGTATTTGGTCATTTCGCCACCTTTTGATTCATATGGTGTCTGCTTTATTGTTGAAACAAACTTAGAAGGCAAACTACTACGTTTAAGGAATTTTATTATGTAACATTGAATTTTATAATATAACATTAACATGACATGTGCATGAGAACAATATTACCCAATATGTATCGTTAATGTTCATAAATAATAAATGAAGTTTTGAAATGATATGATTAGATTAACAATGTTTCAATAACCAAACGGAAGTGAAACTTGACAAAGTTATCGGATCTCAGGTTGACTGGTTTAATCGGTCAAACTGGGTGACAAAAATTTTAAAATTCACCAAATACACCCTGAAAATTACCAGTCCCTATAAGTTTGAAACTTAACAAGCACACCCCAAATACAAGTCAACGATTGACTGATTGACAACAACGACACACCAAATGCAATCTCGATCATCCTTTGAACCCATTCCCTAGAAAATCTACCCAAGATCTGCCTGTTTTGGCCGAATCTCACCAACGTCAACATTCTATGCCACATCTCACCACCGTCAACATCAACAACCCTCCACATCACTATGAAAATACTCCCCTCAGCAACCTGACCAAAACTCACTTCACCCCATTCCTGTTAGCCTCGCCAATCGCTTGCAAAAGTTGATTGTTGCCACCACCTTTTTTCTCGATTTCCGATCGATTCACTTACCAGAAATCAACTTTGTCGCTACCATTGCACTCACCAACATTTTTTCTTCAAAAGCCCCAACATCCCAACCTTCAATTGTTCGTCGATCATCATCCCAATTTCTAGGGTTTTAGGTGAATAGTGAAACAGGTAATCCGACCCAGTGAAAGCCTCATGTCCCAATTGAACCAACAGAGCTGGGCCGGGTTTTAAAACATTGTGATTAAGTTAAAATGAGTGGATATGATTAAATAAATTTAATGAACAATAGAAATAATAACTGATACCAATAATTCTGAGCGGCTAGCTATGACCAAGCAAAATACATCAATATTAACAAACCTAAATTTTCTGTGAAGTGGAAGCTAAAAAAACATCCTCATCTATTGCTCATGGTTCTTCTATGATTCTTGTTCAGAAATTTGCAGATACACCATCTGGGTATATCCATTAAATACAGAGTTCTCAAGCCTACCTAAACCAAGTCGCTGAAACAAGCCAAAGCGGCCATCTTCAACGATTGGACTGGACGCACGGGCAGGATCATATCGTGTTTGGTGAGTCAGGGAAGGACCGGCCACTGGAGGGAGCTCCCAATAAACATCTAGAACTGATTCAATAAAACGGCTGTTCTGAAAATGTTCCATATAAGAGATTGGCTTGTTACTGTGGTTGAAGTTATCTCGCATCTCTCCTCTAACACCCCACCAGGTTTCGTCTGGTCCACATAGTTCTTCTACATCCACTGCCTTCTCCCAGAAGTTCTTCCTTCTTGCTCTAATCCTTGCTTCGTCGCTATCTCTAAAGCAGCTATGGCCACCTCCTGAATCAAAAACATGAAAGGTGGAGCAAATTAGCCCACTATTTGAAAACTTACAATGTCCTTGTAGATGTAAGGTTATATGAAAATAAATTATAATCCAGTTAATATAACTGTAAATAGCATTGACTGACCATCAGGAACGGAAAAAAGGAAAAATAAATAATTTAAAATCACTAAAGCTTGTCCCAGTGGTTACTGTTGAGACCTCCTCCTCTGATGGTATATATATTCACAGCTAAGAGAATTGAAAGAGAGATAAGCTCCCATTTAAACTACAAGGAAAAAGGGACAGGACAACTCAATTACAAAGTTTATATCAATGATATGAAGGCACTTCAAACAAGGGAGAACCCAGTAAAAAAATGAGAGGCTGTTCAGCAAGGACAAAAAAAACAGGCCTAAATTTAAGACAGAGAGGTAGAAACAGCCCCAAACAAAGCAAAATGATAGCCAATGTGATTCATATTATATAATTCAAGGCATTCATGAGCAAGCCATCAAATATTAAATAAGGGGAGAGCTCGCACCTTTTATATAAAACTGATCACATATCTGCCTCAAAGAATAATGGTCTCCAGTTCCGGTATCATAATTATCCTCGAAAACAAGATGCCGAAAGCCAGCCTTCAGTGCCTGCTTTACTCTTCCGTAAAAGGATGAATTAAGAGAAATCAGCATTGAGCAAGCTACAAGCCTATTAGTATAAATATAAGGAGCAAAAAATTTTCTTATAATCAAACTCAGTTAGACCTTTAGTACCTTTTCAATTCATTTTGATGGTCATCGAAAAAGATTAGGACCCGGCTGAGATTGGAAATCCGATGTTGCTTCATCACATTCCCCCAACTGACACTACCAAAATCCACAAAATCTTTTCCAGCAAAATACGTGCAGTTTCCATCAACATAAGCAGGTCCCTTCTGTATGTACTTTGCAGGATGCCGAGGTGAAAGGGAAATGATTTTGGTCTCTGGCATTGCTTGCCGCAAAACCCAAGTAGAATGCCCCTTGAAAGCACCACTCTCAATCATTAGATCAGGTTTCAGCTGCCGAGCAATGAACCAAAGCCCAAAGCTATGGTCAAAACCCATCCCATACATGTTATTCTTAATTGGACGAGTTTCATATATTGGTACAAACTCTTCCAAACCCTTGAGCAAATCCTTGGATGTCCATTCAACCGTTTTTCCCTGTTTCGATCTGCCTTTTGACAAGGACAAAAATTAAACAATGTAGACCATAAGATATTAAATACAGCATGCTCAAACTCAAATCCCAACAATATCAACTGATTAATTCAAACAGATTAAAACTTGTATGCATTCAGATTATATTCAACACAAATGAATTCCAATTTTATAGACAGCAACGATCAAGTAGAAAAATTTAAAAAAAAAAAAAAAAATTAAGAAAAAGAAAGAAGAAAAGGAAATTTTCCAACTGGCACAAAAAAGTGCGCCGGTAGGAAAACATATTTAGCTGAACCTTAAAAGATGATTGTAAATCAAAATGGTCAAAAGTTCAATAAATGATACCAAATAATATCCAGATCTAGTTCAGAAAACCACACACCATCTAAATTCATGAATTTATAGTATTAAAAATACAAAACTGAACAACAGAACTATATCTATTTTTTCAGCTAAAAAATTAAAGCACAAGCTGAACTTAAACCAAATCCATAGACCGCTTCAAGATCTATGCATGTAATTACACAAGTATCTCTCCAACCCCACATTCCCACTCGCCTTACCATTACAAACGCCAGAAAATCTCAGACATAAGGATTTGAAATTCAACCAATAAATTGAGACCGCATTTGGACACCTTATAAATGCCAATTACAGTATACAAATACTAATCATCTTGAAATCACAACACATTCATAATCACAAACGATCATGAATACCGAGTGGCCTTTAACTCCGATTATCAATCCAATATTAATAACAACTTTACAAGCTTTTAACATAAAAATAAAGTCATCTCTTCAGGCCCTATGTGATCCATTGTCAAATCAATTTATCAACAAATAGCGCAGGAACCTAAAACTCTCATTATCCAGCCAAAATTACTTAGAGATTTAAACTTCACCCAATATTAACATACAAAGAAGCCATCTCTCAACAACCCATTTAAAATAATCCTAGTACAATACATAATCAAATCAAATTATTAACGACTAAAAATTAAAACCACATAAAAAATTACATCAAATTCAAACTAAATTCAATTAACCCAGATCTGAAAATCACATTAAAATCAAATTAAAAATGATAGAAAACTTACACCAGGGAACACCAAGATATCCGAAATCAGATTCCAACGCATCGGGTCGAAAGAGCCCGGGTCCGCCCCGAGAACGCGGATCGTAGGGCGAAACACAGACAAGGCCACGATAGTAGTGAAAGATCAAGGAGGCGACGAAGAGGAAGACGAAGAGAGAGAGGATGACAGAGGGCGACACGTGGCCGATGCGTGAGAGGTACTTGGAGGCTAACAAGGAAATATGTTGGCGTTTGGTCTTGGAGTCGTCGACGGCGTCGGATGCGGCGTCGGAGGGTAGAGCGGAAAGGGCCTCTGTGTCTGCGGCGGCGCGGCGGGAGGAGACGGAGCGGTCGAGCATTGTTGCAGTGGTGGTGGATTTGGGAGAGTGAGGGTGACGGAGAGTGGTGGTGTTGTTCATTGCTTTTGTTGAGTGAGTGTGAACGAGGCTGGGGGTATTTGTGCAAATATAAAAAACAATAAATTAAAATAATTAATTTTGTTTTATTTATTTATTATTTTTATTAGTATTTTTATTAGTAAAGAGTAAAGAGAGAGATTCTGTTTAGAAAAAATGATTATAAATGTTCATTTAATTATATGGAAGTAATTATTATGGAAAGGAGGGGATTTCTACTTTTAGAAATATACATAGAAAAAATATCTTTTTATAAAAAAATATATTATCGAATTTTATAAAACATTAAGAACACATTGTCAACTAATAGTATTTAGAAAGGGATTAATAAATTGAACACAAAATTCCCATATTCATTATGTCAACTTATGTTTCATTTTTGTTAAATATAAAGTATATGATAACACGATAGTATTATTAATATGGTTTTACGAAGTATATAACCAATTTCTTTATCTTTAGACTTACATTAAGGCAACATGACATCTAATGTGAGAGTGTTGATGTACTACCTTTTTTATTTATAAACTTTGTATTCTTGAAGAGATTCTAGTTATAAATAATTATTGATATATGTCGGATCCAAACACATGATAAGTAAGTTTCTAGAGGTATTGTTTACTTTAGGCCTTAGGAGCCTGTATGGTTTTGTCTTGAAAAGACGACTCCAAGTGATGAGGGAGTCTTGTTACTATATAAACAATTAAGACTCTAAGCCAAAGTGGTGTGGGGGTCTTTGTGCCTTCGCCCTGTAGGGAGTTGTATGGTGCCAAAGTCCCACATTGGTTAGAAGACGAGGGTCTTAATCGCTTATATAGCATAAGGAGACCCTCACTACCTAGAAGCACATTTTTTGGACAAAATCATGCAAGCCCCCAAAGTCTAGAGTGGATAATACCTCTAAGAATCTACCTACCATATGAGGGATTGGGTTAATATCAAAGTCTCACATCGGTTAGGAGACGAGGGTCTTGGTCGCTTATATAATACAAAGACAACCTCACCAGCTAGAAACACTTTTTCAAGATAAAACCATAAGGTTCCTCAAGTCCCCGAGTGGACAATACATCTAAAAATCCACCTATCGTATATATGGATCCAACATACATCAACAATCATCATATTACAAATTTATGAATTTATGCATTTTTTTTCCCTTCCCTTCTCTTATCTATCTTTATCATTATTATAAAATCCTCCTCCGTGATGCTATAAGCTCTCTTATTTCTTCGAATGAATTCCAATTAATAAATTAACCATCCACCTATCATTAATTAAGCTTAAGCTAATTGTTTGGCATAATTTGCATTTACTCTACAACCCTAAATTAGTGGCCAAAGTTGTATCATTGTAATAACTTCAAACCGACCAATAGAAAGAATTAAAAGATCTAATCTTACTCTTACAGAAACTTTATTGTGTCTGGCACTGGCAGCTGATGGAATTGCATTTATATACAATGTCATGCACCCACCAAACTATCCAAGTACTGCCATAAAAACGCCACCAATCTTCTCTCTGCATTGCATTCAGTCTAAGAGAGAAACACAAAGACAAACACTTAGTGAAGAAGAAGAAGAAGAAGAAGAAGAGAAGAAAATAAAGAGCTCATGGCCTCACTGGATTCTCCAAATCCATCTTTCGCCATTAGAGATCATGACACAACTCACAGCAAGTTCTTAAGAAGCCTCTCCTCAAAAGAGCAACCTTCCTTCTCTAGATTCTCATTCACACCCCCTCGTTTCACCTCTCCAAGTCTCCACACTTCACCTGTCTCCTCCCCTCTCCATTCTTTCCACCCTGCGGCCGGCGGGGCCGCGAGCCTGGAAGCCACCTACCGTTGCTTGTCTTCCATCCTGAAGAAAGATGGGCAGATGCTGTCAGTTGCTGTGGCAAATGGGTTCATTTACACAGGTTCTGAAAGCAATTTGATCAGGATTTGGAAGGTGCCTGAGTTCACAGAATGTGGGCAGCTCAAGACTAAAGCATGCATGGTTGTTGCCCTAGAAGTGAGCCATGATAGAGTTTATGCTGCTTATGGCGATGGCAAGATTAGGGTTTGGCGTCGAACTTGGGATAAAGGATTGAAACATGTTCGACTAGCTACAGTTCCCAAGTCTACAGGCTCTGTACGAAGCTACATAACTGGAAGAGATAAAACGGTAACTGTTCTTACTCCCAGTTGCAGATGTTCGCATTTTTTCTAGTTTACTAATTGTAACAAATACTGAAAGATAAAATTACGTTTGTGTTAATGGGGCATTTTTTTTTTTTTTTTTTTTTTTTTTTTTTTTTTTTTTTTTTTTTTTTTTTTTTTTTTATTTATTTGGGGTGGTGGGAGGGTGAATGGAGAGAAGGATCCTGGTTTTGACAATTGACACCTAATGTATTAATGAAGCTACGGATTTTGGTAGGGCATTTTAGGACCCAACTGTACAGGAGGAAGATAAATCATTCAATGAAGTTAATGAAAAGTATTCATTTCTAGAATGGAGGAGATGGGATTAAACTTCCTCTACTTAATTTTGTTCCATAAACGATTCAATAACACCCACTTGTTATTCTGGATTTTTCCCCCAGAAAAAACTAATACTTTAAATCGATTCTCTCTCTATATATAAATGTGTTTACACAAAAGTGGATAGAAGTTGGAATTTTATCAGTTTCTTGATGGAGTCAGTAATGGAAGTTGCTCTTCATAACTCCATAAATATGGTTAAATATCTAACAGCCCACTTTCTCATCCATAGTCCTTTCTGGATTCATTTACTTTTGTCATCCCACTTGGGATTTTTCCCATCTGCTTAAGTGTTCATGATCACATATTTGGTAGCGTTATTAACTGGAATAGTAAACATATCATATCATTTATACCTCGTAACGAACAGTGAGCATATCATATCATTTATAACTCGTAAGTATTCGCTATCATAACTTTGTTTATCGATTTATTCTACAGGTGAAGCATATGGGACCAATATCATCGCTAGCAATCAATGTTTCTGATGATATTCTATACTCGGCTTCCCTTGATAAAACAGTAAAAGTATGGCGGATAAGAGACTTCAAATGCATAGAAACCATCCAGGCACATCCTGAGCCAGTCAATGCCATAATTGTCACTGATGACGGAGTACTTTACACCGCCTCTGATGACGCCACGATCAGAGTCTGGCGTCGATACTTTTACAGCGAAAACCACTTGCATACTCTCATTCTAACCCTACCTGCAAAATGTTCCCCTGTAAAAACCCTAACCCTTGTCCCAGACGATGGCATACTCTATGGTGGCTGCACTGATGGCTATATACATTACTGGCACAAGGGCTGGTTCTCAGGTCAACTACAATATTCTGGGGCCCTCCAGGGCCACACTCATGCAGTAATGTGCATTGCAAGTGTGGAAAATTATGTGATTAGCGGCTCAGCTGACTCAACGTGTAGGGTTTGGTCTAGAGAACAAGATGGCAGACATATAATGCTAGCAGTTCTCGTGGGTCACAGAGGACCGGTTCGATGTGTTACAGCGTTTATGGGGCATTTAGGGGAAGAAGGTGAAGATGATTGCACAATTTGCACTGGGAGTCTTGATGGGGTTCTGAAAATGTGGCGCGTAACTCGAAAGAAAAATGCTAGTGGTAATTGTTTGAATCAAAGTGGTCATGGATATTTTGAGTTGCAAGACTAGCTGTTGCAGAAGAAAATTGTCCCTGTATTGTAACTAAAATTGTGTATTGTAAGAGATCTAGCTAGCTCTATTTAGTTGAATTAGTTTGTAATGTTGTGGATTAATAAACTTTACATTGATGCTTAATGCAAAGTTGAATATTAAAAAAAATATAATAATAATAAATGAATAAATTCTACGCATAGACAAGACACTATCTTTAAACTGAAACCTGAAACCAGGAAAAAAAATTGTAGTCAACTAGAATAGACAAATAGTTGAGAGCATCTTCAGATGAGAAACTACAAATTGTTCCTAACTAGAAGAGCTAAATGAAAACATAAATCATATTTTTCTAAGAGAAGTCATTGCATGTCTACATTACAAGGCTGGCCATTTTGTTATTCTGCTCTGATGATAAACTTCCTTTCTAGGCTATGATTTTCTTCTAAGGATAATCCTATCTGCATACCATGTCTTTACTGGTGAAGTTCCAGACCGTGATGGGGATCTTGATTAGCATTATAACGATCCTTCTTCAACAAACGATAAATGATGTAACAAACTATACGCAAACCAACAAGAATTGCTATGATCACCAGAGCTGATATGATATAGTCTTTGACAGAACGAGAATGTTTGCACCCAAAGAAAATCCCTAGACATACCATGGCTAAACATCCACAAGGTCGATCTTACATGGTGAAGGATATAAGAACTCCATTAGATTCCTTGTTTACTGCACAAGTTTCTTGTTGTACTCCAGACAATCAAACTAGCTTTTAATTCTTATCTTCAACTGAGACTTTTCAGTTTTCTGATCACTTGCTTATCAAGTATGGCATAAAATTATTCCTGGCTACAATATTTCTTAGCTCTTATGAAATTGCATTTGTATAATGATTAACCAAATTAAATTATATCCTCAGCTTTAATTTTGTTTAAGATACCTTAAGCAGAAGAAGATGAAAATCCAATCATTTGCACTTGACTGCTCCTAGGATTTTTGAGCATTGTTGCTATGAAGCTCATCACACTCAGAATGCACCACCAGAACGGACCATAGAGCTGCAAAATGGACAACTAACAGATTCAATTGCTGGGTCACAAAAGAATTCAATTTATAAAGATACCAATGAAGACTCAAGACAGGAAAAACTCATAATCCACATTGAAAAGAAAATCACTATAAGAAAATGCAAAAAGCGAAAAGCAAAAAGCAAAAAGTAGAATTCATCATGATATGAATCGCCTGGTTAAAGTTAGTGATTAAAAATATCCAGTAACGTTACTAGTTTATCGAAAAACAAATTCTAATATATCAGATTAAAAAGCATGATGACAGTAGGTTAAAAATTCCAGCAACCTCACTGATCGTGAAGAGTAGAGGCAACCAGTAACATTATCTGTAAAACAATTTCTGGTAACATAATTGATGTACAAAATCATTCAGGTAAGTTAAGCAAAATAATAGGTAACAGGCAATGTAAGACTTGATTGTGGCCACCTGTCACAATTATATGCCGTTGAAGATGGTTTAAGGAGGAGTTAGTTGAAGATGGTTTAAGGAGGAGGCACTTGACTGCCTACTTTAATCTATGATGGGAGGTTAAGCTGCCTTTAAACCTTTAACATCCCATAAATGATTAAGATAAACAATTAAATAACTCTTCCTTAAACCACCGTTAACTGCATAACTGTGGCATGTGGTCACAAGTTTTACAGGTAATTGTTGCAATGATACCAGAAACTAATAACAGAGCTCCGGGTGATGCTACTGCTAAAAAAATACTGGTGTAAGGTTTCCAGTAACCCTACAGGTGTGCTACATAGTGACTGCAATGTTATTGGATAGGTGATTCTGGTAACATTACTGGTGTCCTATATTACAACGGCAACGTTGCTGCGAAAGAAACTCCAGTGATGTTACTGGAGAAGTAATTCAGGTAATATTACGTTGTGCCACATTATAACAGCAACGTTGCTGCGGAGGAAACTCTGGTAACGTTACTGGAGAGGTAATTCAGTTACGTTACCAGTTCCACCTCATATCAGCAACATTTGATTCAGGTAAAGTTACCGGTGTGCCATTATTATAACAGCAAGGTTGCTGGGAGGAAACTCCGGTAATGTTACTGGGGATGCGATTCAGGCAACGTTACCGGCGTGCTACATCACAACGGTAACGTTGCTGGAGAGTTAATTCGTGGAAAGTTACTGGTGTGCTACATTGCAACGGCAACGTTGCTGGGAGAAAACTCCAGTGAGGATGCTGGAGAGGTAATCAGGTCAAGTTACCGGCGCACCACATCACAACAGCAACGTTACTGGTGTGAAACATTACAACGGCAACGTACGTTGCTGAGGTGGAAGCTCCGGTAAAGTTCCTTCACGGAATTAGCACGCCAGTAAAGTTACTGGAATTTGTTCACCAGTACGTTATAGATACCTGAAATATCACATTGCCGATGTGCAGCATTTTCTTAAGAAACCCAAAAAAAAAAAAAAAAAAATTTGTTGGCTAGATCCTTACCCGCATAGCAAATACTGAGGTGAGGTTACCGGTACAGAAAAGGGCACAGGCAAGAAACCACGGCGTCTCATTTCGGACTGATATACTGAAAGCACAGAGACGAAAGACTCTGAGATTAAATCACACCCAAGAGCCACAGCCCTAACAATCTTAGCTTTCGTTCGACAACAAACAAAATCAACAAGGGGAACAGAGAACGATTTCGGCTTTATTTTAATTTTGATTTTGATATTGAAGGAGAGAAAAGCGAATATGTGAAAGAGTAAAGTATAGTTCAGGGAATTAAGTTTAATATAAAATAGAGCAACGACATACTCCCATGAGTCCCATCCGAAGTTTTAACGAAATCTTACTTGGTATTCTTGGTTATATTTTTTTCATATTTTCACCCTTCAAGTAGTAATCGTTGTTTCATTTATTTTAATAGATTTTTAATTTTTTATTATAAAACGGTTCATTTTAATACGTTAAAGTGTGTCGGTGTTTTTTGACAAAAGATAGGCTAATGTTAGCAAACAATTGCTCACGTTAGCTATGTCTAAGTGAGAGGATTTTAGTTTTTTCGATCGATTCTGACATAAAAATCACTTTTGAGACCATTGTTGAGCTCCCTCAATCTCCTTTACAAAACTCATACCTTCACTTGCCGACCTCACTCACAGACCTCTAACAGTCACTAATAGTATTAGCTCAAGAGTGAAAATCTGAAATAAGTGCAACTAGCGGGGCCAGTACACCTTGGACAACGATTCACGGAGCAGAGTACCCTTGGACAATGATTCATGGAATTTTGGCCCAGTAACAATAGCGGACCTGTAAGGTACAATGGCCCAGTATAGTAAGATACTGAGGCCCAAAATGAAATAATAATTACTCTCCTAAGATGAGTCATCATCTCACACGTGTGAAACAAATCAGACCTGGTGGCTCTCACAAGCAATACAGAACACGGAGCCGAATGTTAAGTTGCAGCAGCAGGTCTCTCTTGCTCTTCAGGTACGCCTTTCAACACTTTGAACCCTCACTAAAACATGTAATTCACCTCAAAGATTCAATCTGTTTCTTCTGTTGTTTGAAATTCTTAGTATTCTATACTTCTTATTGAATTTAATGTTATTGTTTTATGCAGAGTAGACCGTGTACTGAAATTTACAACCACTTATGTGAAACCAAGTCCGATTGATTACCTTCAGGTTTCTTATGTGCATATTTGTTAATATTTGTTTTGTTGCTTATACTTTGTTTCTTAAGTTATGATCAATCTTTATGTAATGCATTGCAATGAGCTTATTCTGGCTATTTTAGCTTAATTATAGCTACTCTTTTCTTGTTTTTAGATGTTGTGCTATATTTTTCTTTGTTTACTTGATAGATAGACTGATAGAGAGAGAATACAGGAATTTCTTTGGAGAGGAAAACAAATGAATGCCATTTGTTGGCTGTTTTTGACTACTTTGTTTGTGTTTTCTTTCTTTTTGTTTTGCATTTTATAAACTCGAGGTTGATCGTGAAATGTGTTCGTGGCTTGGTTGATTTTTAATTGTTTTCCTCATGTGATAGGGACGCTGTTTTTACTATAATTTGAGCTGTAATTGGAAGATGGGTGGGGCAAAAGAAAAGCCAGGTGCTGTGTACACAATCAAAAAGCAAAAAACCAATAATCTTGTATGGAGACCCGTGAGTAGTCAAGCCAGTTTTGGTGAAGGTTTGTTTCTTTGTGGTTGAAGCAAACTTGTGTACAATGCACACTGGGATGATAATAGACACAATTCTAATGATCTATGAGCTTTTAGTGATGGATACTCAATTTTTTATTCTCAAAAGATAGAGGTTGTTCTTTCTTCTTTTTTCCATTCCATGGAGTTTTCAGACTTGCAAAATGTGACATAATTTAAATCAAACAACTCTCCCTCACTTTTGATCCAATTTCTCGGTCCTTTCAGATAAAATAATGATTATACATTTTTAAAATTGTCAGATAGCTATTTCTCCAATTGCATTGAATTACCTGTCAGTTTATAGATTTACTTGAAGACTCTCAAAAATCTATCTTCTTTTTTCACCTGGTGTATTTTTAGATCAAGGATTGAAGTTTTGCAATCTCTTAACTGGCTGGTTTGCAAGACGTTATAATATATCTGAGGGATTGCTTTATAATGGGTTTGTAGGTCTGAGTTGCAACCAATGTTGCTGATGGTTTATATGATGTCAATTTGTAGAATGTTCAGTAAAGGAAGTGACAGTTGGGTCGGAAGATGTAAGTCAAATTCAAGAATTGACAGTTGATTCAGAAGATGCAAGTCAAATTCAAGAAGTGCAGTGCAGCACATCAAGCAATGTTACAGATGCTCAACATGTCATGAAGGTTGAAGCAGTGACTGAAGTAACTGACTCAACACTCAGTTCTCATACATTGCAGGATAATGTCGAGGATAGAGCAGTGGAAGGACAGTCAGACCTTTCAGCTGAAAAGCATTCACTTTCGCTTGAGGTAAAACTTCAAAACGTGAATTTGACAAAATTGTCAATAATAGGACTCAATATGAAGTACATTTTATGGCTTTTGTCATACTTTATCTGAAATTTTCAGTTTCTCTATCCTTGCTACAAACACCATGAATGGAGTAATGAATATAGTCAATGTTTCTTGAGCTCATTGTCTTTTTTCTCTTCTTTTCAGAAAAGAAAAGGAAAAAAAAAAAAAAAAGTGTTCTCACTTCGTGTGCTTTACTTGCAGATTGGTGCTTCTGTAATTCGATTCGTCAAGGGAAGAGAGTAGGGAACTTCTGCATGTAAACCTTTTTAAGACTCAAATAATGGCCATTTTTCCTTTTTTTCATTTCATTTCTTCCCTCAGGGGATCCATGCAGAAAAAAATTGAAGAGGAGATGGGAGTTAAGATTATCATCCCATCATCAAGGAAGGAGGATTCAATTAGTAAGTTTGTTGGTTTGTGACAATTAAGGTCTTAACTTATGTCAAGTTGTTAGAACCAAATTGCCATGTTAAAGATTCATTTCATTTATGTTTCTTCATGGTTTCACAGAACAATTTTCTTTTATGCTTATCTAATTTGACATTGTTCGTCAATATGTAAGTTATATGAATCTGTTATATATTCAATATATAGTAACTTTAACATTGTTACATGTTGCAGTCATCGAAGGCATTTCATTGGATAGTGTAAATAAAGCTTCAGAAAGGATAAAATCTATAATCGATGAGGTTGGTTTCATATCTATATTGTTTTTCAATGGCATCAAGCAGAGGCATTGTGCCAAAGATGTTATTTTTATTAGTTTTTCTAATCTCTCGTAATTTTGTAAATGAAATCTTTTTTCCTACTTTTGGCAGGGGCTTAATATGAGCCATTCTGTAACATTCAGAGCCTGTTGACTACTAGGCATTGTTTTCTCTTTGATACATCTCACTCATAAATAAATCTTTTAATGTTTTTTTTTTTTTGGTATCTCAGGCAGTTAAAGGCCCAAGTCTGGATTACTCACACTTTATATCTCTTCCATTAGCTATACATACAGAATTGGTTGATAAGCTTGTTAATTTTCAAAACTGTATCCTGGGAGTTGGTGATTCCCCCCTAGAAGAGAATGCAGATAGTGATTCAAACGAAGATGCCTCTGACAATGAAGACAAGGACCGACAGTTAGATAAAACTCCTAATGTAGCTGTTGAACTTAAAGTTGGAGATGGCACTGAGCATGTTAAAGTGGATGTAAAGAGCATAGACCAAAAATCTAATGTTGCAGTTGAACTTAAAGTTGGAGATGACAATGAGCATGTTAAAGTGGATGTAAAGAGCATACCTCTTGTTAGTTATGTACCCAAAGCATCAAAGTCTTCCTCTGTATCTGGTGAGAAACCCATTAGATTCTGTGATGCACTGATACAAGCTTTATAATATTATAATCTAGAGTCTCCAGAACATTATTGTTCTCTTGTTAGCAACCAGAAGCAGCATATAAATATACATACGTGCTCTAAAAGCTTTTTGTCAGTTTGTTTACTAGGTACTACTTAATTTGGATCTTCACTATGATTCTTTGTTTATCCTTTGCCATCCACTGAAAGCTTATGTGTGATCCTTTGTGGATGCAACTTTTGTATACCCATAATGGGTTTTGCTTACGTGGGTTCAACACTACAGCTTTTATGTCTTTTCATTAGTATTTTTGGTCATGTTATATTGCTTCAAATTCTCTGAAGGTCTACTGTGCTGCTTTTATCACTTTCTCCTTTTTCTTACTCTGACAATAATGCTGTACTGTTGTCAACAGATTTGGGAATCGACAAGTCCATGTTTATTAAACCTAAAACCTTTCACTTAACTGTGCTGATGTTGAAATTGTGGAACAAGGACCGAGTTAATGCAGCTGTTGAGGTTTTGAAGGTAAATTTCTGTTCAAATAGCTATTGGTTGATAGTAACATTCTTGATGTTATAATGCTCTATGTTTCTGTCAGAGTATTTCCTCGAAAGTGATGGATGCCTTGGATAATCGACCCATCTTTATAAGACTAAAGGGGCTGGTAAGATTGTTTTTCAAGTTCAAATACAGCTTACGGTTTTGTTATTGAGTTTGAGTCTTTTAGCTGATGGGACATAGACAGGTGAAGGTTGAGAATCTGCTAATGTTTGAATGTTAATTTAGTGCATAATATCTTATTTGGGATCAACCTTTCTCTGTGCAGGAATTAATGAGAGGTTCTTTGGCCAAAGCTCGTGTACTCTATGCTCCAGTAGAAGAAATTGGTGATGATGGTCGACTTCTCCGTGCATGTCGTATCCTCATTTCTTAATTGTCAATATCATTGTCTTCTCCTTTTTGTGCTACACTTGGAAATACAGTGGAAAAACAGAAGTACAATATTGTCTAGTTTTGTCAATTTTTTGTCATATTTATTAATTCAGTGGAGTCTTTTGAATTTCCTGAACCTTCTTAGAAGTCATTATTGATGCATTTAATGAAGCTGGACTTGTGCTTGAGAAAGATGCTACACAGAAGTTGAAGGTACAATATAGGACCATTCAAGTATTTGCTTTTTTAATTTTATATTATGTTCTTCTTCTTCTTCTTCTTCTTTTCTATTTTATTTTATTTCTTTTTTTTTCAAACTTCAACAATGATATCTGCTGCTTAATTTTAACTCTGTTGGTGGCCCAGTTCACAGTCATGTTACCTGTCTGTCTGTATATTTGTGTTGTTCATTTATCTTCACTAAAAAATATTATTACTAACAGTTGGTTGTTTCCTCAAATTGCAGTTGCATGCCACTGTGATGAATGCAAGGCATCGGAAAAGGTGCCCATTTCTTTTGCTTCTCTTTGTTACCCCCAGGCTTATAAACCCTTTGGTTTTTCTTTATTTTCTTTAGTTCTATTCTGACTGATTTATGAAACTAAACTGGATTGTACAGCAAGAGTAGGACAAGAAAGCTTGATTCGTTTGATGCACGAGGCATTTTCAAGCAATATGGATCTGAGGAATGGGGAGAGTATATTATCCCCGAAGCTCATCTTTCACAGAGATTTGTATTTGATGAAAGTGGCTATTATCATTGCTGTGCTTCAATACCTTTTCCTGAAAACACGAAAGGAGACTGATCCATTTAAGTTGAAGATTAACAACTTAGTTCCCTTTGAGTAGAAAACACAGGCCACTTGTGTTATATAAGGTCGTTCTCTTGTGATGAAGCCTACTAGCGTATTTTCGGCTTTTGCTTCCAAATTTCTAATTTTTCCCTCTTTTTTAGGTTCCCCAAATAAGATTTGCTGCTATAAGTTCTTAGATCTTGAGTATCTATTAGAAAACTAAATACTTGTAACAGTTGAAAAGTGCACAGTTAATGGATAGATTTTAAACTTACATGGTGAAATCAATTTCTTGCTTTGCGGAAAATTGCTGCGTCTGGTTGTTGAAGTACTTTGTTGTTACATTTGATTGTGGACCTGAAATTAATGTATAAGCTTGTACATTTTATTTCTTGCATAGTCTTGCATCCCTAATTCAGAGAAGAATTTTCCCATTGCCTGGAGAATTGATATAGATTATAGAACAATGTCGATGGTTTACAAGATCTTTGCATTTTTCTTCAGAGGATCATATTATGATAACAGTAATAACATAATGTCATTAGACTAATACGTAAAACATTAGGATCTTCTTTTGATTTATGCTGTTTTTAACTTCTAATGATCTTAAAAATGAGGATATTCGCACTTAGATGACAAACCTTATATTCCCCGAGGAGGTGGTCTAACCAGTGTTCTAAAACTCGACCTAGGGTGTCACCCGGCCAAGGGGTTGGGTCTTGGGTTGATCGGTCTGATCGGTTAAATTGGCGGTCTCGAGTGATCCAGAAAGTTTGAAATCTTGCAAACACACCCTTGAAAAATCCACATCAGTTCCCATAGGTTTGCAATCTAGCAAATACACCTCTAAGATCTGTTTGGGTTTTGATTTTTTATACCAAAATTCAATCCGACACCATCATCTAAATCATTGTCCTCCACTCTATAAAACCCCTTTAACCTCAAAACTTGGTAGTCTCTCGTTTGCTGGTTGTGACTAGCGTATATTGCCACGATTGGATTGATTTTTCTAGCAAAATTTTGGCTGATTTTGGCATCCAAAATTCAATTCGACATCATCACCTGAACCACCGACCTTTGCTCTATAAAACCCATCTAACCCCGGTACTTGGTAGTCTCTCGTTTGCCAGTCATTACTCGAATATCGTGCTGATTTTTTCAACCAAATTTCAGTTGATTCCGATGTCCAAATTTCAATCCGACACCTCCACTTGAACCAAAGGCCTCTATTCTACAAAACCCCTCTAACCCTAACACTTGGTAGCACCCCATTCGCCGGTCGTGACTCGTGTATTGGGTTGATTTTTTGACCAAACTCCAGCTAATTCGAGCGTCCAAAATTCAATCTGATACCACCCCTTCAACCACCGGCCTCTACTCTACAAAACTCCTCTAACCACGATACTTAGTAACCCCTCATTCACCGACCGTCAAGTTAGGGATTTTGTAAACAGTTAAAAATAGTAACCTAGACTGGAGAGAGCGTCAGTCACTAGTCCAATCAGTCCGATTGGCTGATCCAGTCCGGTTTTTAGAACAATGGGTCTAACCCATGAAAATGTTTTTTTAATGGAGCTTTAGCTGTAATTGATTGCCACGACCAAAAAAAAAGTTGCATTGATCCGATAAATTATCGGAGTAATGAGTTTATTTACCCTAGAGAGCTCATATATGAGCTCATATTCAACTCTCTTTCGGCTCAACCCCACAAAAATGAGAGGAAACTGGGAAGTTAGGGAGAATTTTTCTTCTCTCAGATGAGACTAGATTTTTCTAACAAGTGAACTTGTGTTTCACATGTCTAAATTCAACCACTGCTAAATTATATTAAACTACAACTATAAAAAATAATATTCTTTCCAAAATATTGCCAACCAATACAAATGCCTTCAGCAAAAGCTATGATCAGTCACTCTCAAGCTCAACAATGGAAGTACCATGATGAACTTGGACCTTAGTAGATGCTTTTTGATTTATAAAAAATAGAAATGTCATTGTTCTTGACTGGAGACAAAATGAATGGCAGCAAAAACATACCAGTGATGTTAAATCATATCAGTTATCAAAAACACCTTTCACTCTTTTAGCACAGACACATCTTACCTAATTTCAGAGATTTTATTACCCAGAAAAAGCAAAGCTGATATGATTGTAGTTGTTAGTTTATGGTCATTTAAAAGAGAAGAGGCAAAGCCAAAGTTAGGTAAATGTGAAATGCTTCTTCAACAGTGAGACTTTAGTTTAAGGAAATGAAATGGTAGCCAGTTTGCAATTCCATGTGGTAAGGTAGTAGCCATGAAAACATGGAATTGGGACATAACATGTGATACTCAATGTTCATGAAATGAACACAAAATGAACTAATATCATAAAAAAAAATTGGCAAAATGCAAGAATTCTTTTACTTGTGGTGTACTATATTACTATATTATGTCAAGAATTGATTCAATCGTAATATTTTGATAACGATCTAGTAACATTACCATCTTGATAAAAGTTTATTAGGTTTGTAAAATGTCAAATGCTTGATTCTTCACTAATGATGTGCTATATTACTATATTCATTGGAATGTATTTGGTTGCCGGGAAAATGTGGGGAAAGAAAATTAATCAGCATCAATCTTGAATATTTGATAATTGAGTATGATGGCCTATATAAAAAACATATAATTTTTTATATGGAAACAATCATCAAGTTACTGAACAACCGGCCCTAGTTGAATCTGCTCTGAATTCTGATAATTCTTTTATTTTCATCCAAAAGTTTCAGGCTAACGCATGTAAGTTTCTTGTGAACGCAGTTGAAATTGGAAAAATTACATGAAAACAAAATCTATTTCAGGCTGAAGCTGAAGCAAAGCTTAATCTTTGAGTCATGTATTCATTAGGTAACAGAATACTAACTCCTTGCCTTAAAATTTGCTATTGGAATCTTGCTTTGGTTCAATCACTTGTCTTCTACACTTGCATTGTGTTGTCATACCGAATTCTTTGTTCATTTGTTCAGGAATCTGCTTTTCTTAATTTTCTGCAAATTACTTTCTTTCCACTCAGGCTTCAGAATCTTTCTTTATGAAATACAACTAAGACAAGAAATCAAATTATAAAAGCGGCAGAATATATTTTGTTTTAAAGAAACTTCATGTAACAGAAAGGAAACAGTGGGAATAGCTTGGAAAAAGCTTTATTTATACCTAAACCAGCGTCAAAGCAAGGTTTCACTTTGCTCAATAGTGAAATATTCCTCAGCTTACATGTATTATAAACATTTCAAAGAAATAATGGTAGCATTTTCGCAACACAAACACATTTGATAACTCAGTTTGTCACCTTTCATTGTTCAATACCATCTCTGAGTATGGCTGAAGCCATTGTTTCATTTGCCTTGGAGCAGCTGGCTTCAATTCTTTCTCAACAGATTTCTGGCTTCATCGGAAAACAGGTGAGCCTAGTTGGGGATATTGAAGAAGAAGTAGACAAGCTTAACCACAATCTTCAAGCCATTCAAGCTGTGCTACTTGATGCAGACCAAAAACAAATGAAAAATAGAGCTGTGAGGGTTTGGTTGAATCAGCTCAAAGAAGCATGCTATGACGTGGAAGATGTGTTGGATGAGTGGAACACTGAAATCATGAAACTCAAAATTGAGGGAGGTTATGTTCATAATGCTCTTGCTCCTAAGAAGAAGGTATGTTGTTTTTTTCCCTCTCCTTGCTTTGGCTTCAAAGAAGTTGTTTTACGTCGCGACATTGCAGTTAGGATAACAGAGATAAATAGAAAGTTAGATGCTATTGCGAAAGAAAAAGGTGATTATAATCTTAATGTCATTCCAGCTAATGAGAGACCTGATTATCAACCAATGCAAACTACTTCTTTTATTGATGTATCTGATATATGTGGTAGAGATATTGAGAAGAATAATTTAGTACGCAAGTTATTGTGTGAGAGTAGTGAACAAAGCCTCCAAACCATCTCACTTGTAGGGATGGGAGGAATTGGAAAAACAACTCTTGCTCAATTTGCCTGCAATAATGATGAAGTAAAGAGCCATTTTAATTCAATAATATGGGTGTGTGTATCAAATCCTTTTGATGAGTTCAAGATCGCTAGAGTGATCATTGAAGCTCTAGAAGTTCCTACTCCTAATGTAGAAGATCTACAATCTCTTCTTCAACGTATTCATAACTCTATTGTGGGTAAAAAATTTCTTCTTATTTTAGATGATGTATGGAATGAAGATCACAAAAAATGGGAACCGTTCTATCATTGTTTAAAGAATGGTCTCCATGGAAGTAAAATTTTAATTACCACACGTAAAGAGTCGGTTGCACATATTATGAAGTCAATTGATATTATCAACGTTGAAGAATTGTCCTTTGATGAGAATTGGGAACTATTTAGGAGGCTAGCTCTTTCTGAAAGACCTACTCATGAGAGTGAAAAATTAGAAGAAATTGGTAGGGAAATCGTTAAGAAGTGCAAGGGGTTACCTCTTGCTACAAAAACCATCGGGAGTCTCTTGCAGTTTAAGAGGAGTAGAGATGAATGGAAACGTGTTTTATATAGTGAGATGTGGAAATTAGAGGAGATTAAAAGTGGTATTCTATCCCCTTTGATGTTGAGTTATAACGATTTGCCATCCTCAATAAGAAAATGTTTCTCTTATTGTGTTATCTTTCCAAAAGGTTACAATATAAAAAAAGACGTATTAATTAATTTATGGATGGCACAAGGTTATTTGGGGTTAGAAAAGAATACAAAGTTAGAGACAATAGGAGAAGAGTATTTTCACCACTTAGTAACACGATCTTTCTTCCAAGAATTTTCAAAATCAAAAGATGTTATAAAGGATTGTAAGATGCATGATATAGTGCATGACTTTGCGCTATTTTTAAGTGATGGTGAATGTCTTGCTCTACAAGTCAATATTGGTGATAATGATCTGTTTATAAACTCTTCTAACAAAAATGTTCGTCATTTAATGTTAAAGGTTAATAAAGAGGTTCCATTTCCCATGTCCATTTGTAGCGTCAAAAGTCTGCGTAGTCTTGTGATTGAGTATGTCCATTCATTGTCAAGTGATGTTTTGCCAAAGTTATGTGAATTAACATGTTTAAGGGCATTGAAGTTCACCGCAAATTTTTTGGATCAAGAAGTTATGGAGATTCCAAAAGAGATAGAAAAATTAAGACATTTGAGATATCTTGATTTTAATATGCAATTTATCACAAGATTACCTGAAAGTTTGTGTGAATTATATAATTTGCGCACTTTAGATATTACACTGAGTATGACAACTGAATTACCTGGTGGGATAGAAAAATTAGTAAATTTGAGGTGTTTAAAAAATATGACAAGGTCGTTGCTTTACATACCAAAAGGGATTGAAAAATTAACAGGTCTCCAAACATTATCGGAATTCGTTATAAGTGGTGGTAATGATTATGATAGCAGAGCATGTAGTCTTGAAGGAATTAAAAATTTGAATAATCTTGAAGGGAGCCTGAAGATAAGAGGGTTGGGAAATGTGACAAATGTGGGTGATGGTAAAATAAAAGAAGCACTCAAAAATAAGAAAAACCTTACTGGTCTGAATCTGCAATTCGATAAGGGAACGAAAAATCTTAGTAGGAAGAGATGCTCCTGGAAAGTTGCTGAAGAAGGGGAATCGTGTGAGGATTATGAAGTAGTCCTTGAAGCTTTACAACCACCTCCAGAATTAGAGCGGTTGTCGATTTATTCCTACGCAGGCAGAACTTTCCCCTCCACTTGGGAGATGTCATTGACCAAGCTGAAGAGTTTATATCTTTGCTGCTCCCTTAACTGTAAGAATTTGCATTCTTTGGGAAAATTGTCATCCCTTGAAGAACTAACCATATATGGGATGAAAAATGTGAAAAAAGTGGATAATGAATTTTGGGGGATTGAAAGTGGAGCCTCTTCATCATCTTCATCCTCTGCTTTCTTCCCCAAATTGAAACAACTCAAATTTTGTGAATTGAAAGAATGGGAAGAGTGGACTTATGAGAATACAAAGAAGGGAAAGGAAGAAGAACATACTAGATTCATGCCATGTCTTGCTACCTTGGATATCAGTTCCTGCTACAGATTAAAGGCACTGCCAGATAGCCTTCTTCAGAGGACAACACTCAAGAAATTGATTCGGGAATGTCCTATTCTAAAAGAACGATACAAAAAAGGAACAGGATAAGACTGGTCCAAGATCTCTCACATCCCTACCATCAATATTCGATCATAAATGGGTCAAACGGAAGCAATAAACATCAACCCATAAGCTACAGGTAATTACTTAAATATGCTTTGTTATTTGTTTTCTAATCTAAGAACCAGATAACATTTTTTTAATCAAATTATGTGTTATATTATTGTCTGAAGCAACAGTACAAACTTATCTTTTCAATTTCTTTTTAAATGTTCAATCACTTCAGCTTATTTATTGTTGTTTTTTCAAAAATTACTTACTAAAAATGTTAAGTTTGAAGTTCATTTGTTGAATTTTCTTTACTGTTTCTGCAGGCTTGGAAAAAATTGACCCAAATTTGGTATTCACAGATGCAATGACTTTTCCGGTGCTACTCATGTCTGATATTAGAAACCAGGTGATTGGTGATTGTCTTTCCATATGGTCTTTTATCCTTGGATTTCACATTCTTTAATTAATACTCAATCAATGTTCAATCAGAGGCACAAATTTATTAGTCAAAGAGGCTTCGGATCATCGTTTCGCCACCGGCCACCGGGAACCGCCACTGGAAGCCTCCCTTGGCTACAAACCACCTTCTTCAACTGCCGGTGATTCGTTTTCCACCATGACCAGCACCATTTCACCGTCTCCAGCCACCATCGACACCACCATGAGCGGCTGAGCTCCCGGTTGCTCGTTACGGTGTAGGCTAGACCAAGTTAAATGCGCTACCAGGTGGCCTTTTCCAGAAGACAAAACTCGATATATCAGTGTTAATTCATAAATGTCCTATTCCTGAAGCACATCAAATTGATGGTCGTACTCGTACCTACAAGGAAGCCCAAATTGAATTATCAATTTGACAGCAGCTACCAGCAACCCACAACCCACAGGTGATTATTGACCATCCTATTTCAATTTTTGTATTTCTAATCTAGAACTAGATCACATTTAGTATCAAGTTAGCGCTACTGTCTCAAATGAGCAACATGGTTTTTGAATTTATTTTCAAATTTCTGAAATGAACTTCAATATGCTAAAATACAGACATGCAACAGGTTTCTCTAGAAATCCTCTCTGCTTTTGATTTGTGAAAGTATTAATCTTGGTAATATATCGGTCAATGGAAGATTATATAATCTTTGAGTTATCCATTTTGCATTACTCAAGATTTTGACGCTAATAATCATGAATCTATGTCTCAGGGTTCGATTTTTTTCAGCGGGGCAAAGAAACTTATAAAAATGGCTATAATGCATTGTGGTCTACAAGATAGAAAATAGCATAATGTGATCAGCTGGAGAAGATAAGAGGATTTGCAGTAATGCTTTTCATTTCTGTTATTTGTATGACCTCTATTTTGATTTTTCAGCTAAGCTGTTTCGATTTTTCTGGGGATAATGTCTTGTGAAGTTTGTTTATTATTGCAAACTTTTGATATATAGATTCAACATTGAAGTTCTATAGGTATATATATTTACACACACATACACACACCAGGTAGTAGATTGACCAAAAGAATTTTACATAGTCCATGATTTATCCATATTTTGCATAACTCAAGAATCCAGATGTCAATGTTAATAATCATGAATCAATGTTACAAGTTAAGAGTTTTTCCAATGGGAAAAGGAATTTAATTTTCGAAGTGGCTATAATGTTTTTTGATGTACAGGACAGAGAATAGCAGAATTTGACCAACAGGAAAAGAGAGGAGGACTTGCTATAGCATCTTTCATTTCTGTTACCTTTGTGAGCTCTGTTTTTTATTTTCTGCATAAGGTCTCTGTTTTTTCTTGATTATGTCCTTAGAAGTTTTGCAATCATTACAAAAATAACAACCTTAGTTTTCTATCAGGTTGAACAATTAAGGTTGGAAAATATTTTCAGCCCATGCAAAAGCAGTTACATCCGAGAAGTTTTCCCTTAATGAGCTTTACGCTTTGAATGTTGGATGGATTATGCAGCATGTTAGGGAGCTTCTTCATTTTGCTGTAAATTGGCTCTGTGAGATCCTTTTATGACTTATTTGGGTTTCTTATGCTTATATGGATACTGGAAAGGGATTTTTATTTCTTATTAAGAAAACTTAACATCCATGTTTTAGTTTTGATGCAGTGACCAAGTTTAATGTATCCTAAATATTTTTGAAGAAATCAAAAGACTATAAGAAGAGATATGACCGGAGCTCTTATCATACTGGAGAAGATTGACAAGAGTCAATTAGCCTTGAAATATATAGCATAACATCTCCTTACTTCTTAAAGGTTGCAACCTCTTCTTTTAAGTGGTATTGTTAATATTAAGGCATGGATCTTTATATTTGAAGTTTCAACTTCCTGTTCCAAAACAAATACTTTTTGTCTCACTGCAATTTTTTTTGGTTAAAATACAAGGGAGGGTGATTATGCAACCAACCAGAGGAGGACGAAGTCATTCTAAATGACTTTACTCAGAAATGGAGAATTATCAGTTGTTGATATGGAAACTTGATTATTTGAATAAATCGATTTTATTGCAGTGAAGCAAGTTTATCTGTCTCGCAATTTAAAGGAATTTAAGGTCAGAAGATGGTGTGTAACAAGAACATGACAAAATGAGGTTCTTTTTACATAAACTTTCTCCATCAAATGACACCGGATACTAGAATATTTTATTCTCTTTTAGCTTAATAAAATAATCATTAATTTCCATCCACAGAACTTTGCATCACAGGGGACAAAATTGACCAAGAGCAATCAATCTCAAATTATCCTATATAACCTTTGCCAGTACTTCTTAATGTTCGCAGCTACACTCTCGCAATGCTTTCTGTTTATTGATTTTTAATTTGAAAGAAAATCATTCATTTGTGTGACTGGTTGTGTTCTCTTTTAAATCCAGAATTAATTTACTAGTTATGCTGGCAAGGCTAGTATTTCAAAATTTTGTCAATGATTAGCAGAGGGAGTGCTTATGGTCAAAGCAGTTGTCAAGCACCAACTTATCAGTGGTAGAAACTTCGTTTAGGACCTTGTGCGAAAGAGAAATTGTGGCTGAAGAAACAAGTTCTCTATGTCAAGTTTTCACACTTGCTTCGTAAGTTTTCCACCGGGTCTAGATTTCTACATCCTTTTATAGAAACACAATTCTAATTCCTAATAGGTAATTAATGTCCTAAGCAAGTACAATCTTTTCTTAGAAGGTTGCTTAAAGAAACTTTTGACAAGTGAAAGGATTTGCTCATGATCAATTAAACCGTTAATTCCATTTGTAATCTCAAAAATAATATATTTTCATGTCAGGTGTTCTTCTAGCATTCCGTGGTCAATCAAGGATGCATTGGTTGAGAATAGGAAATAACAGCCTTAATTTAGGATTAAAAATATTTTCAAACTACTGAGAAAGCAGCTAAACCAGAACATTTTTCTAAATTTTGTATCATGGAGAACGGTGCCAGGAAGTTACAACAAAGAAATCAAATTTTGTTTCTACCCCAAAGACCAAATTAATTAGTTATGCGTGGTAATTCTCCCTCAGTTCTTTCATTTATTTATGTTCAATAAAAAAGCTTATTGTTGATATTTGACTGGTGATGGTGTGTTTCCTCATATGCAGAATTGATTTACTACTAAGGCTAAATATGCTGAGAATTTTCTGTAAAGGACTCAAATGGTGTGCCTGCCGCACATATCAAATTGGTTAGTCATGCTTGTCACTGATCTGTTTTGTTTCTTCGTTTGTTTAAGTTCCAATCACAGAATTGATTTGTTTCTTCTTTTAATATCCAGAATTCATTTGCTACTCATGCTAGCTATTCCAAGAATTTAAAGCTCCTTCACCAATCAACAGAGAAAATATTGAAGGACCAAATTCCGTTGGTCAATAATTTCTGAAACTTAATTGAGGCTCAGGTGCTCAACGTCTAGTTTTCACATTTGCTTGGTGAGCTTCCTCAGGTCTATATTTATATTTCCCTTCTTTCAGTGTGTCTTTCCAGCAAAATAAATTTTTATTGATACCTTGAAATATGCTATATAATCTCTGTCAATATATCTTAAAGGTCACAGCTCCACTTCTCATTATATGTAATACCATTGTTTTAAAAACCGGACCGGTAGGCAACCCGCTCTGCTAGCCGGGTCACGGTTCAACCGGTCCAACCGGTTGGACCGTCGGTTGGACCGGTGATGTCATCACACACATGATGACATCAACACATTTTTTAAAAAACTTTTTTTTTTTTAGATTTCTATTTTTTAATAAGACAATAACAACTTAATTACTGTCCAATCCAATATAATTCAAAGTTCAAATTCAACAACAATCCTAGCATAATTTAAGTATTTAACAACAATTCAAAGTCTAAATCCAAACATGATGTTGTATTTACATATTAAATGTCAAAATACATACTAATTAATAACAAAATATTTAATGCAAGTGTTTTTTCTTTGATCCGTCTCCATGTTGATTAAGCTTCACACACTACGCATGAAAATTATCACACCATCATCATCATCATCATCATCACCATCTACGCAAATTAGTAAAAAATAGAAATCATAAGTTAAAAACTTGTAATTTAATTAAATAGATACTAAGTTGCTTAAATAATTGAAACCAACCTTTTGAACCATCGTTGATCATAAAAGAAGGGTGATCAGCAACTCCAGTAGGAATAGATCCTTCTCCATATAACTTTGTTCCTCCAACTCCTCATAATTAAGTTCACTGACCTCCTCCTCTTCATCGTCAACTATCAACCTTCAGTTTTGTCGATACTATAATCATAGGATCCAAACTTATTCTTTGAACACTCCTAAAATCCATAATGAAATATTAAAAGCATGACACTAAAATAAAGGAAAATAATAGATAATAACAATAAGAGTGATGCAATTGAGTAATTGACATGTTTTTACCTGTTTTGCAAACGCAAGTATAGTGAACGAAAAACAAGATCATTCAACCTTTGATGCTCCAATCTATTCCTCTTTTTAGTTATTACGCTCAAAAACACTCCATTTCGTTCACATCCAGAAGCTTGAAGTTTGACTAAGAATTTTTATTGCAAACTTTTGCAAATTGGAGTACATACCCAAATGATCTCCACCATTCATCTAATTGAAATAAAATAATAAATAAATTAGACTTAAAAAACAAAAGAACTTATAAATTTTATAACTATTAGTACCAGGACTGTGGTTTTGGCGGTTTCAAGAGCAAGCCCACGAGAAAAGCTTTCCTCTCGATTTGATATAATCTACTCTCTTCCATTAACCTTGTTTGCTCAAATTGAAAGCACTTGCTTTACTGTCATAGTATCAAGGAAACCACTCATAACTTCTGGCTTGAGGCAAAAAGATTTTCCGTCATATTTAAAGGCAGGATTCAAATAAAAGCCGCAGCATGGATATCACGACAATGTCCTATCCCAACGTAGCTTAATGATTCTGTATAGGCTTGTAGAATTTCTTATTCTAAACAAACTTCTTAATTGCATTTTTCGCTCTGTACATGCCATCATACACATATCCTATTGTGGCTTCTCATCTGAGTCAACAATCCTCAACAAGCGCATCAATGGACTCACAACTTGGATCTTTACCCATATCATCCCAAAAATCGTTATCCAAAATTATGTCAATAACATGTTTGCCTTTATTACTTTTTGCATATCGAGAATCGACAAATGACTTACTGTCACTATGGCTTGCAAGTCATGTTTGTTCATGAATGCTTCTCTTGCAATGAAAGTTGTAGCAAACGGGTTGCACCGGACGAAAATTTCTTTCCAACCCTGTTCAATTGATAAATAATAGATGTTAGTCAATATAAAAAAATGCATGTATGTATGACTTGACAAGAACATGAGCTAAAAGTATTACCTGTCTTTTCCTCAACCAAGCTATCAAAAATGTATGATTATATATAAACTTCGTCACCTCAGAAGCACGTCTCGCAAGATAAACTATGTGATCCATCTCAGCTATGTCTTTTAACACCAAATTTATGCTATGTGCTGCACAGGGTGACCAAGTAATACGTCATATTTCTCAAACTAATCTTCCAGCGCTTTATAATTGGATCCATTGTCTGAGACAAAGGACAATACTATTTGGTCCAATCCATAAAACTACCTCCTCAAACATCTTAACAATGTCCCAGCATCCTTCACAACATTGAAGCATCAACTGATTTCACAAAACAAACTCCCTTAGGACAATACACCATAAAATTGATCAATGACCTATGTGAATTATCAGTCAACCATCAGCCATTAAGGTACATCCACTTTTCCCAAATCTTTCTATAACTATCAACAAGAAGCTGCACTTCCTTTAGCATCTCTTAACAATTGACACGCAAAGCATGATAATTTGGGTGTTTATACCCAGGCCCAATTGCGGCTATAGCATCCACCAAAGGCTGAAGATAAATTGAATTTACAGCATTAATTGGGATGCAAGCATCATAAAAGAATCTTCCAAAAGCCATGTCTGCTCTCCACGTCGCACTTTTCTAGCTAAACAACTCCTAATTGATGGTTGAGATCCACCAATTGTCCTTGAGCAAATAGTCACAACCCCATAGATTTGTTTCTTTTGATTTGTCTAGCATTGTACTTTGTTTTTTACTGCCAAACCTACCTTATTTATGTGAATTTCTGATGGACGAAATTCTTCACTATCTTCATTAACATATCTCCCTCAAATACATGTCGGAAGCACCGTAGGGAGTATTATACTTACTAGAATCAACTTCTTTACTCTTTATCCCAATGTCTTTTAGTGATTCTCTCATGGAGTATTGAACATCAAAAGGAACTTTTTTACAAGCACCAACATCCCCCTTTGTTCCGGCTAGAGTGTTTCATTCTAAAAATACCTCCTCCTCTAGTTACTTTCCACAGTGAAGACATGTTATGTCTTCTTCCATTGTATCTACACCCTTAATAACATTGCCCATGTTATATCAGTCCTACCTCTACTAGATTGGAAGAAGACCAACGCAGATGTTGTCATTGTCTATTTTAATCTTTATCTACCTATCGGCTATCACACAAGAAATAACAACAATTATCACTCAACCAATTGCAAGTTCACCGCTGGTAATCTCAAGATAAATGCAAATAAACTAAAGCCTTATTGTCTATAATGAAGAAAATAAAATAAAGCCACCAAAATATATATTCGATCCTCTAAAATTTAACGGCACTATCACTTTAAGAAGTTCTAAAGCAATACGGCACAGACATTGATTGTCCAAAACTTAAGCGCACACATTTAAAGGAACAGCAATGAGCAAGGCCAGATGTAGGCGTGAGTTACAGCTAATATATATACTAAAATGCTATCTTGCACAGATTTTCTAATGGTCTCACCGAAGTGATTGAGTGGTTTCAGCCAAAGAATAACTATGGGGCTTGTGTATACAAACTTCAAATTTATAAAGTACTCTATAGGTGTATATTTTTAGAGCAGAGGCACACCATGCCAACCAAAGAGAGTACCAAATGCTAAGCTCAATGAAACCATCAATATCCCACAAGCAACCTAGAGCGTATAAACTTTTTTAAAAATCTTCAAAAAGCATAATTTTAACATTAAGACAGTAGAAGGAAAAGGTGTTGGTAAAGCTAAATTCTGAACATGGCAACACTGCATAACAACATGACATGAAGTTTAACAACTTAAACAATTACAGAAATCAGCAAGCAGACTACCAGAGTTAACTTGATTGATAGAACAAAACACTCACCAGTAAGCAGAATACCGAAATAGGTAGACAATTGAATTTCAGAGTCTTATAGAGTATTTAAACATTGTGTTACCAATTTGTATAAACCAAATAAACATAAGATTAGTTTTGTAGTCCAATTTTATTACCATAGTTTTAGAGCAATCAGTTAATTAAAAAGAGATGCTAATTTTATAAAGATATGTTGGTTGAATCCAATTTAATGAATGACTTGGGATAATGGATATGATTCACTTCCAAAAACTAGCTCAAAGGAAAAGGGAGCTAACTTAGTGATATCCTATGTGTAAGGTTGGGGTTTAAATCCATCACCGTCTCAAAAAAACATGAGTTTAATATCATAATAAATGAGTTCTACTCCGCAGAGTAATATAAACTATAAGTTTCTTAAGTGCCAATGAAATAAAAAATGCATCTATAGACCTTATTTGTGGCACTCTAGAACTCATGCAAAGTTTAAACTATTTTCAGTATTTGACTTATAAAATCACTCCAAAAAAATGTACTAGTACATTTGACACAAAAGCTGTATATGAACTTCCAACTTACATTAAAAATTTTAGGTAGAGGCTTTCCAGTGATATCCCATTCCCTTTGTAAAGCAGAACCCATTATAATGACCTAACATACCAAGAACTCTGGTCACAATTTTCGGTGCCTTTACAAAATATTGAAACCAGGAAAGAAAAGAACTAGTTCACACTTGTCTGCATTTCCCACACATTCATCATACGACATATTAAATTCATCATACAACATAAGAACATGCTCAAGATCATGTTAATTCAACCACAACAGCTCTATAGATTTCCAGCGAAATGAACAGGGTGTTAGCTTAAATGTAAAGGGAGCGAGGAATGACGTTACCTGGATCGACGAATGGAGCTGTCGCCGTCGATTTCCAGCTAGGGAGGAAGATGTCGTCGATTTACGGAGAGAGAGGAAGACGTCGTCGTTGATTTTCGGCAAGTTCAAATGCGATTTGGGTGGGATTTCAGAGAGAACAGAAGACAGCCGAAACCGTGAGAGTTTTTGTGAGAAAAACTGAAAGAGAAGAAGGTGAGAAGGGGCTGCGACTCTGCGTGACAGAAGAAGAGAAGAAAGAGTGCGACGATGCGTGACAGAGAAGAAGAGACGAATGGGTGCGCGAGAGATCAGAGAAGACGATGGAGTAGGGATTAAAAGTGTGGGCCGGTTTTTCCGCCGGTCCGGTTGGACCGGCGGTTCACTTATATTATCCGGTTTTCAACCGGTTTAAAATGGTTTAAAGCTTATTAACGGGTTTGAGGGTAACCCGAACCGGACACGTGGCCGGTTCCCGGTCCAACCGGTTGGACCGGCCGGTCCGGTCCGGCTTTTAAAACCATGTGTAATACCTTCAAGAAAACTAAGGGGATGTTAATTATATGTAAGCTAATATCTTAGGTATAATTAATAATAATAAAAATCTCTTTATCGGTAAGTTTTTAATATTAAAATAAACATGAAAAGGTCAACTAAGTAAATATTCATTAACTCATCATTTTATTAATCCTAATGACATATTAACGATTTATGAACAGTAAAGGGATTTATCTAGGTATGGTTATAAAAATTATGTTTGCTGGCTATGGGTATAGTTTTTCATAAAAAATTATGTACTAAGTTTGCTAGGTATGGTTAATTCTGCCATGAGTTTACTTACAATTTCAAAATTGAAGTTCAATGAGATCATTTATTGAATATATGAGTCACTATTTCTACAACATCAAAAAGAAATTTCCATTACGTATTCCCAAGTATGCAATGAAACAAGAGAGGAGATAGCACAATGTGAACAGCCGGAGAAGGGAAGACGATTTACAATTAGATTTTTCCCAAGTTTAATTTTCATCCGAAATTGACACCATTAAATTCGTATCAGGATAAATCATGCGGTTTGTTAAGGAGCTTCTCCGTTTGCTTGAAATTCACTCCGGAAAATCCTTTTATGGCTCATTGAGGTTTGCATATGCTTATATGGATATTAAAATACTTTTTTTCTTATTAAGGAACCTTAACGCACATATTTTTGTTTTGGTGCCAGCAACAAACTGAATTATCAATTGGACAGCAGCTGCCAGCAACCCAGAAGCCACAGTTGATTTTTGATCATCCTTTTTCAATTCTTGTATTTCTAATCTAGAACTAGATGACATTTAGTATCAAGTTGTATTTGATGCTATTGTCTCAAATGTGCAACATGGTTTTTGAATTTATTTTCAAATTTCTGAAATATAGATTCGAAATTGAACTTCAATATGATAAAATACAGACATGCAACAGGTTTCTTTAGAAATCCTCTCTGCTTTTGATTTGTATTAGTCTTGTTAATATATTGGTCAATGGCAGATTATATAGTCTTTGAGTTATCCCTTTTGCATTACTCAAGATTTCAACGCTAATAATCATGAATCAGTGTTTCAGGGTTGGGATTTTTTCACTGGGGCAAAGAAATTTATCAAAAATGGCTATAATGCGTTGTGGTCCACAAGATGGAGAATAGCAAAATGTCATCAGCTGGAGAAGAGAAGAGGATTTGCAGCAATGCTTTTCATTTCTGTTATCTGTATGACCTCTGTTTTGATTTTTCATCGAAGCTGTTTCAATTTTTCTGCAGATAATGTCTTGCGAAGTCTGTTTTCTGACTATTCAAAGCAGTTAAAACAAAGAACTTTTCCATAACTGAACTTTGAAGCTTTAAATGTTAAATTTCCGTCATTGGTTGTCTCTTAAGTTTGGATGGATCTGATCAATTATGCAGCGCGCGTGTTTTAGTTTTGATGCAGTGAACCAAGTATGACGTATCATTAACTCTATTCTTCATTTAAATATCGCTACTTACAAATGGAGAATGGTGTCTGGAAGTTAAGAAAACCAATCAAACTCAATCTGTGCCAAAGATCAAATTAGTTATTATGCTTAGTAAGTCCCCTCTATACTTTCTTCATTTATATATGTCCAATAAAAAATTATGTCACAGAAAATATTGGCTGGTCATATTTGTTTTTTCTTTATATGCAGAATTGATAAAATATACCATAGGACAGAACAATGAGGAACCTTTTTCTCTTGCAACAAACAGAAAATATTTCCGATGAAACAAGTGCCTGATGTTTTGTTTCCACATTTGCTAGGTGAGCTTCTATACGTTTCTATTTCCTTCTTGCTCTTGTCTTTCTTGAAGAATTAATTTTTTACTGATAATAGGCATTGTTCTATGCAGATATTATTGCTTTTTAGTCAAGGTTGCTAAAAAAGTAGTGACTAGCAAAAGGATTTATTAGTTATTCAGAATTTTCTCCATTACTGTCAACTTTGATCCTGTAAGTAATATTTGCTTCTTAATGTCACAATTTGTATCATATTGGTTGAATTTTATAGCAAGATGACACACTGTTACCCCCTCGTTTTTCAGGTACTAAAAGGATGCAGGAGAATTCAACAATAAATCTTCATGGATTGAAACTCCGAATGCAATTTGTAATTGTATTGCAGAGCTTGGTCTTGGTCAACCCTGAAAATCAATCTTGTTATCTCCAAGAATATCCTGTGATACAACCTCAATGGATAAAATCCATTTTTATTTTCTCTTCTAGGAGAATTCGGACACAACTCTAACGTGTTCTGAACCGTTTCTGCATCAACAAAAAACATTCATCAGCTCCGTCATTAATTTGATCCATCAAAGAAGATGCCCTTGTCCGCAGGCTATGGAATATGCACATTCATCTTCAAGGTTAACCATGGATACTTTGAGCATATACATTAATTACCTGATATAGTTTTAATTGCAATTATTCGTTTTTGTTAATAGGACTTTCTATTCATGGCTTTAACTTTCAATATGAAAGAAAATATTTATATTCTTAAGGCAGTCTGTTGCAGTACAATTGAAGGGTATATGATTAATTAAGCCATTAGACAGTAATGGTCAGTTATACTTTCCCATTATAGCTCTCTATATTTCTTCATTTAATTTATTCATCTTTAATTTATATGATTGTATTTGTGTCCCTGCTTTTAACAATGTGGTATTTCTATTTTAGAAGGCCCATCTGTGGGTTTCTAAATTCTTTGCGGCCCATCAATACTCTATAAAGATTAGAGAACTCAATTAATTTCATGAGTAATACTACAAATACATCATTTTTATATAACATTATATGATAAGATATAATTGGCTAATTTAAAGTTAAAATTAAACTTTCATCCAATAAAAAATTAAACTTTCACCCAATCACATCTTGTCACATAATGTTGTATAAGAATGATGTATGTGTAGTATTTTTCTAATTTTATTCCAATTGTGTCCTCTAAAACTTAAATGTTTAAATTTAATCCATTGGGGTCGATTTATATAGACAACCTTTCAAAGCAAAAGATGCTCTTTCAATCACTAGAAAATTATAGATTTAATTAAAACTGACTTCAGTCTATGCATATATATATCCCAGAAAAAAAATTCCTAGAATTTTCCTGACCAATAATGGGGTGGGTGGGTTCTCCTTCGTCAGACTAATTACAATCAATATAATAATTCATTAATCCCATCATTTGTGCAATTACCATACACTTTCGGATTGTTTTTCAAACCCCCTGAGGTTTGGAAATAATTATAAACCCCCTACCGTTTGTAATTTTTGTTTAGTTTTGACAGAATTTTGTTAAATGACATTAATGTCCTTCTGCCCAAGAACTAACTAAGTTTCAAAATGCCACTAGCCTGAATTCCCACACTATCTTCGCATTTTATCAAGCCAATGCCACTTGCGATCCTTGTACTTATCTTGGAACAGGAACTAACTAAGTTTCAAAATGGCAGATTTATCTTTCTTAGGTAAAAAGAATTTCGGATTCTTCTTGCTTTTCTAATGGAACTCGCATGCAATATTTCAACAAGAGTACAATACGACGAATTGCATGTATGTATTGTTCTTATCACATGACCGTTATTTGAGGGTTAAATCTATTTAACAAGAAAAACTAATAGCAGGGGTAATTTTTGGGGGGTTTTGATGTCAAAGTTTTAGTTTGCGAGCTTCAGGGGTGTAAATATGAAACTTTATCTTTCACCCTTTTATCATGTTAAAGCTAACTAAAGAATTTTGACGGCAAAGAGGTTTTGTCTTTATATTCTCAATCATTCATGATAAATTTACTAAAATAGAGTATGGGGTGTGAATTATTATTTTAGAAGGCGTATTGTTGGTTTTTGAATGCTATAGAGATTAGAGAACTCAATTAATTTCATTCCAATTGTCTCCTCTAAAACTTGAATGTTTAAATTTAATCCATTCGGGTCGATTTATATAGACAAACCTTTCAAAGCAAAAAATGCTCTTTCAATCACTAGAAAATTATAGAATTAATTAAAATTGACTTAAGTCAATGCATATAAATTATGATTTACATACATCCTCCATTCTTGAATAAGATTAATTTGGGTCCCATTAATGAAAAAATTTTCTGGAATTTTACTGATTGAAAGAGCATCTTTTGACCAATTTTCTTCTTCTTTTTCTAAACTAGTAATACGTCATGTTTTGAAAGAAGGGAAGGTAGGCCCAAAAGCCATGTGAAATATAATTAAAGTTAATAGAGTGGGGGACAAAATAATTTTGAATGAAAGCAAAGGTAGGCCCAAAGTCATCTGAAATATATCAGGACGTACTATTTTCAGAACATGAAAGAACTTTAGTCAATTTCACAATTTATTTCTTGTGAGCAAGCTGTGTATGGGGTGTTAAAAACTCCAGATAATAAAAGCTTACATTCATGATAAATTTAATAAAATAGTGTATGGGGTGTTAAAAAAAATCTTGGAAACCGAAAAAATCAAATCATACGGTTGAAAACTCCGGATAATAAAAGCTTACATGACTTGCAATAAAATAATTTTCAGCAAAATTGGTGTCAAAACATAAAAGATCAGGTGCTAATTTCTCTTTACAAGAATAAACGTCATGGGCTGTTCAGTATAAAACATGATTATCTATTAAACTTCCTTAGTTTCATCTCCTTGGTTTTTTTTTTTTTCCTTGAAAGAAGAAAGAAAGAAAGAAAAAGAAAACTGGTGCCAGAAATTTATGAGAAGATGTTGAATATATTCTATCGATTAATACATATAGTTGTTGTAATCAACTCATAAATAAACTGCATTTGTAATGGGGAAAAGAAAAAATTTCTAAATATCCGAAATCAATACACATCGTAATTGAGGGACAAAATTGTTTTTGAAAAAAGGGAAGGTAGGCCCAAAAGTCATGTGAAAATATATTAGTCCTTGGCTCAAAGTTAATCGAGTGGAGGACAAAATAATTTTGAATGAAAGGAAAGGTAGGCCCAAAGTCATGTGAAATACACAAATATCAGCACAGTACGTACTATTTTCAGAACGTGGATGAACTTTAGCCAATTATACAATTTATTTCTTGTGAGCAAGCTGTCGTAAGACAAGTGATTAATTTGCTTTTTTTGTTTTTCTTCCTGGAATTATTGGTATCCAACAAGATGGGTGGGGTATATCAGGTTTACTTCTCAATCATTCATGATAAATTCCGGATAATAAAGCTTACAATAAAATAATTTTCAGCAAAATTGGTGCCAAAACATGAAAGATCAAGTGCTAAGTTCTCTTTACAAGAATAAACGTCATGGGCTGTTCAGTATAAAACATGATTATCTATCAAACTTCCCTAGTTTCATCTCTCTGGTTTTTTTTTTTTTTTTCTTCTTCTTAAAAGAAGAAAGAAAGAAAGAAAAAGAAAACTGGTGCCAGAAATTTATGAGAAAATGTTGAATATATTCTATCGATTAGGCGACAAAAGTGGCAAGCAAACATTTTCAAAAAGCTAATCAATTGGGGGACAAAAGTAATAAAAGAAAACAAAATTGATCTGATAGCCAGGAAAAGATGCACTTTTAATTGCCATCACTTGAAAATTTTAGGGAATAGATTAAATACATAATAATTAAATTTAATATCATGGATGAGAATAAGATGACACGTATATGATCCCACAGAGACAAGAGGGAGAAAATGATATATTCTAAATCCATATGATGCGGGCTATCATGATTTTAAAACGCTAGCTCATTGGTCAATCATGGCTGTTTGAAAGATCAATTAAGCTTAATATAATTTTGTTTTTTTTTAAATAACAATTTAAAAAAAAAAAATGTAGCTGATCAAACTTCATTGATGACCTTTGTAAAGTGAAAAAGATATTTATACACACCATTCTAGAATAAAATTAATTTGGGTCCATAGACGGAGAAAATGCTTTGCAGTTTGCCCATCCTCATCATAATTTCATAAATGATAGATACAATTATGTAGCTTTTGCAATTTTTTTTTGCAATTAATAAATTAATTAGACAAAAATTAATGAAAACAGAGAATATGTTACATGAAAACACAATTTGCCTCTATAATTTATTTGAACATATAGAGTTGCTATAATCAAGCTCATAATAAACTAGTTCTCTAGTGGGGAGAAGTGTTCTATTGTCATTGGTGAATCATGGGTATTTGAAAGATAAACTAAGCTTAATACTGTATAATTTTTTTTCAATTATTTTAAATAGGCACGTGAAGCTTTTTATGTCAACAAACGTGTCGAACAATCTAGAGAAAAACTCATATATACTATAATTTGTCAAAAAATGGGGTGGGTGGGTTCTCCATTGTCAGATTAATTACATTTAATATAATAGCTCATTAATCCCATCATTTGTGCAATTACCATATGCTTTCGGATTATTTTAACCGCCGGAGCTTTGGAAAAATTTGATAAACCCCCTACCGATTAGTAACTTTCTGTTAGTTTTGACAGAATTTTGTTAAATGACACTTTCGATCCTTGTACTTTTCTTGGAACAAGAACCAAGTAAGTTTTCAAAATTGGCAAATTTATCTTTCTTAGGTAAATAGAATTTCACAGTTTGAATAGTGTCGATTTATTTGAGAGTTAAATCTATTGAATTATTTGAAATTTCATGTACAATTACTTGGAAATAATTTTATAAGTGGTTTAATTTGTCTTTTTTTTTTTTTAAATTTATCCTTGTTGGGTTTTCTATAAAAGAAAAATTATAAATTGTTTATGTATAATTTAAATTTTAGGTATAGTTAAAAAGAGAGAATTTTGTAAGTTGACTAATTTAAATATTTACTTTTAACTTATAAGTTGGGGGATTTCGAGACAGTCAGGACCAAAGACATCTAGGTTTGGAGGGAGAGACTAGCAGTTGCGGGGTATGGGGTTTGTACGAGTGGGGCAATGGGTTAGAGAGGAGGAGGGGCGGCGACTATGGGTGACAAAGAGGAAGATTGTGGGATAGGGGGAGAGAGTAGCGACAGTGTGGGTGAGTGGGTTAGGTTGAGGGGTTTTTTTTTTTTTTTTTTTTTTTTTTTTTCATGAATTGTTTATAATTAGATAATTTTATTATAGACCAACCAAGCGTAGCCTCCTTTACATGTTAGACATAAAAGAAAAAATTATTAAATTATATAAATATAAAAATTGTTATATATATATTTTTAAAGAAACTAATAAATCTAAAAAAATGAAACTAAAAAATGTGAAAAAATTAAAATTAAAAAATTTGGAAAAATTAAAAAAAATTCAGAATTATCTGCACAAAAAATTAAAAGAATAAAAAAAATTGCAAAACTTTAGAAAGTTAAAAAAAATTAGAAAAAAAAACCCAATTGCTAAGTTGACTCTGGACAAATATTTTTAGACTTTAGTTTTTTTTTTAGTTTTTTTTTTTTTTTAAGTATTCTTAATATTTTTTTTAAATTCTTAAAGTATTTTAAATTTTTTGTTAGTTAAATATTTGTAATTTAGGTGAGGGTTAGAATTATTTAGGAATTTAAAGAAAAAAATATTTAATTATTTTACTTTTTCTTTAAATGTAAAAATGAGTTGTTAATCAATTTTAGGGTAAAATAGTCAAGTTCAAAATATAATCAATGTAAATTCACAACCGTGTTTAGTCAAAATTGGTCAACTCTCATATTTAACAAGAAAAACTAATAGCAGGGCGTTTGTGTGGTAATTTTTGGGGATTTTAATGTGAAAGTTTTTTAATTTTATGAGTTTTAGGGGTGTCATAGTATTAACCCTTCATAATTATAAAACTTTAGGAACATTAACTCTTTTACCCTTTATCCTGTTAAAACTAACTGAAGAATTTTGACGGCAAAGAATTGAACGCAATTAATGATAACAATTACGTTACTTTCACATATATTGGAAAAAAAAATTGAAAAATACATTTCAATATTAAACGCGGTTGGTTGACTCCTGCAATATGCAATAAATTTTAGGATAGTATATGAATGGATGGCAGCATTCACCATCATAACACAAAAGCATACGGAACAAATATCTCCATTTCTTCTCTTTCAGATTATTGACCATATCTGAGTATGGCTGAAGCAATTGTTTCGGTTGCCTTGGAGCTGCTGGATTCAATTCTACTTCCAACTGCTGGCTTCATAGGAGAACATGTGAGGCTAGTGGGAGACGTTGAAGAAGAAGTAGACAAGCTTAAGAACAATCTTGAAGCCATTCAAGCTGTGCTACTTGATGCAGACCAAAAACAAATGAAGAATAGAGCTGTGAGAGTTTGGTTGAATCGGCTCAAAGATGCATGCTATGACGTGGAAGATGTGTTGGATGAGTGGAAAACTGAAATCATAAAACTCAAAATTGAGGGAGGATATGTTCATAATGCTCTTGCTCCTAAGAAGAAGGTATGTTGCCTTTTTCCCTCTCCTTGCTTTGGCTTCAAAGAAGTTGTTTTACGTCGCGACATTGCAGTTAGGATAACAGAGATAAATAGAAAGTTAGATGCTATTGCAAAAGAAAAAGGTGATTATAATCTTAATGTCATTCTAGCTAATGAGAGATCTGATTATCAACCAATGCAAACTACTTCTTTTATTGATGTATCTGATATATGTGGTAAAGATGTTGAGAAGAATAATTTAGTACGCAAGTTATTGTGTGAGAGTAGAGAACAAAGCCTCCAAACCATCTCACTTGTAGGGATGGGAGGAATTGGAAAAACAACTCTTGCTCAATTTGCCTACAATAATGATGAAGTAAAGAGCCATTTTAATTCAATAATATGGGTGTGTGTATCAAATCCTTTTGATGAGTTCAAGATCGCTAGAGTGATCATTGAAGCTCTAGAAGTTCGTACTCCTAATGTAGAAGATCTACAATCTCTTCTTCAACGTATTCATAACTCTATTGTGGGTAAAAAATTTCTTCTTATTTTAGATGATGTATGGAATGAAGATCACAAAAAATGGGAACCGTTCTATCATTGTTTGAAGAATGGTCTCCATGGAAGTAAAATTTTAATTACCACACGTAAAGAGTCAGTTGCACGTAGTATGAAGTCAATTGATATTATCAATGTTAAAGGATTGTCCGAGGAAGAGAATTGGGAACTATTTAGGAGGCTAGCTCTTTCTGAAAGACCTATTCATGAGAGTGAAAAATTAGAAGAAATTGGTAGGGAAATCGTTAAGAAGTGCAAGGGGTTACCTCTTGCTACAAAAACCATCGGGAGTCTTTTGCAGTTTAAAAGGAGTAGAGATGAATGGCAACGTGTCTTAGGTAGTGAGATGTGGGAATTAGAGGAGATTGAAAAGGGTCTTCTATCCCCTTTGATGTTGAGTTATAACGATTTGCCATCCATGATAAAAAAATGTTTCTCTTATTATGCTATCTTTCCAAAAGATTATAATATAGGAAAAGACGTATTAATTAATTTATGGATGGCACAAGGTTATTTGGGGTTAGAAAAAGATACAAAGTTAGAGACAATAGGCAAAGAGTATTTTCACCACTTAGAAACACGATCTTTCTTCCAAGAATTTTCACCAGATTTTGGAGATGCTAGGGGGAGATGTAAGATGCATGATATAGTGCATGACTTTGCGCTATTTTTAAGTGATGGTGAATGTCTTACTATAGAAGTCAATATTGGTGATAATGATCTATTTATAAACTCTTCTAACAAAAATGTTCGTCATTTAATGTTAAAGGTTAATAAAGAAGTTCCATTTCCCATGTCCATTTGTAGCATCAAAAGTCTACGTAGTCTTGTGATTGAGTATGTCCATTCATTGTCAAGTGATGTTTTTCCAAAGTTATGTGAATTAACATGTTTAAGGGCATTGAAGTTCACGGCAAATTTTTTTGATCAAGAAGTTATGGAGATTCCAAAAGAGATAGAAAAATTAAGACATTTGAGATATCTTGATTTTAATCGGCAATTTATCACAAGATTACCTGAAAGTTTGTGTGAATTATATAATTTGCACACTTTAGATATTACTGAGAGTATGGTAACTGAATTACCTGGTGGGATAGAAAAATTAGTAAATTTGAGGTGTTTAAAAAATATGACAAAGTCGTTGCTTTACATACCAAAAGGGATTGAAAAATTAACAGGTCTCCAAACATTATCGGAATTCGTTACAAGTGGTGGTAATGATTATGATAGCAGAGCATGTAGTCTTGAAGGAATTAAAAATTTGAATAATCTTGAGGGGAGCCTTCAAATAAGAGGGTTGGGAAATGTGACAAATGTGGGTGATAGTAAAATGAAAGAAGCACTCAAACATAAGAAAAACCTTACTGGTCTGGGTTTGCAATTCGATAAGGGAACGAAAAGTTTGAGAAGGAATCCTGTCTCTTGGAAAACTTTTGAAGAAGGGGAATCGTGTGAGGATTATGAAGTAGTCCTTGAAGCTTTACAACCACCTCCAGAATTAGAGCGGTTGACGATTGACTACTACGCAGGCAGAACTTTCCCCTCCACTTGGAAGACGTCATTAACCAAGCTGAAGAGTGTACATCTTCTCAATTGCTTAAACGACAAGAATTTGCATGCTTTGGGAGAATTGTCATCCCTTGAAAGACTACATATAATTTGGGGGATGAAAAATGTGAAAAAAGTGGATAATGAATTTTGGGGGATTGAAAGTGGAGCCTCTACATCATCCTCATCCTCTGCTTTCTTCCCCAAATTGAAAGAAATCGAATTTGGTGTTTTAAAAGAATGGGAAGAGTGGACTTACGAGAATACAAAGAAGGGAGAAGAAGAAGAACATATCAGATTCATGCCATGTCTTGCTACCTTGAAAGTCATAGCCTGCAACAGATTAAAGGCACTGCCAGACAGCCTTCTGCAGAGGACAACACTCAAAAACTTGGTCATTTATGGATGTTCTATTCTAGAGGAACGATACAAAGAAGGAACAGGAGAAGACTGGTCCAAGATCTCTCACATCCCTGACATCAAAATTCACGGTATGGAATAAATGGGTCAAACGGAAGCAATAAACATCAACCCACTAGCCACAGGTAATTACTTAAGTATCCTCTTTGTTATTTCTTTTCCAATCTAAGAACCAGATAACATTTTTTTTAATCAAATTATGTGTTATATTATTGTCTGAAGCAACAGCACAAACTTATCTTTTCAATTTCTTTTTAAATGTTCAATCACTTCAGCTTATTTATTGTTGTTTTTTCAAAAATTACTTATTAAAAATGTTAAGTTTGAAGTTCATTGTCGTAATTGTTGAATATTTTTTACAGTTTGTGCAGGCTTGGAAAAAATTGACCCAAATCCGGTATTCACAGGTGCAATGACTTTTCTGATATGAGAAACCAGGTGTTTGGTGATTAGCTTTCCGTATAGTCTTTTATCCTTGGATTTCACATTCTTTAATTAATACTCAACCAATGTTCATTCAGAGGCACGAATTTATTAGTCCAAGAAGCTTAAAAGACAGGACAGCACATCCAAATTGAAATGTATCTGATTACTGGATTAGAAGCATGCGGTCGCAAATTTGTTAGTGTCATGGCTCTATTAAAGTGATTAAAATATCCAAGTTGTGATTTAATTGAATTTATGTTGAGATAATTTACGAATTTATGAATTTATTTATGGAAATCGCACTCTAATGTTTGTGATTGTGCAAGTCGATACTAGGTTGCTGAATTTGACCCTTTTATGCTGTTCAGGGGTTAAACTGTTATATTTCTATGAGGTTTATTTTGTCATTTTTCAATCGTGCAGGGACCAAACAGATTTACCTGGATTACTATATAAATTAATGAAGTTGCGCAAAACCAGAAGGTCAGCCGGAAAACCCTACCATCATCTCCACCGTAGATATAACGGAATCCGGCGACGTTTGGGCTTCCTTCGTGCGACCTTTCATCTTCCGGCGAAGGATTGGCTTACATATTGTGTCTCTTCTGCTTCCAGGAGAGTTTTCGCTCACTTTCCGGTGACGTTGCATCTCCCCAGCTACTGGTCCTCGCTCCTCAGCTCGATAGCTACCTCCCGGTACCTTCGGATCATCGTTTCGCCACCGGCCGCCGGGAACCCCCACTGGAAGCCTCCCTTGGCTACAAACCACCTTCTTCAACTGCCGGTGCTTCGTTTTCCACCATGACTAGCACCATTTCACCGTCTCAGCCACCGTCGAAACCACCATGAGCGGCTGAGCTCCAGGTTGCCCGTTACGGTGTAGGCCAGACCAAGTTAAATGCGCTACCAGGTGGCCTTTTCCAGAAGACAAAACTCGATATATCAGTGATAATTCATAAATGTCCTATTCCTGAAGCACATCAAATTGATGGTCGTACTCGTACCTACAAGGAAGTCCAAATTGAATTATCAATTTGACAGCAGCTACCAGCAACCCACAAGCCACAGGTGATTATTGACCATCCTATTTCAATTTTTGTATTTCTAATCTAGAACTAGATCATATTTAGTATCAAGTTAGCGCTACTGTCTCAAATGTGCAACATGGTTTTTGAATTTATTTTCAAATTTCTGAAATGAACTTCAATATGCTAAAACACAGACATGAACTTCAAATTTTGACGCTAATAATCATGAATCTATGTTTCAGGGTTATATTTTTTTCACTGGGGCAAAGAAACTTATAAAAATGGCTATAATGCATTGTAGTCTACAAGATAGAGAATAGCATAATGTGATCAGCTGGAGAAGAGAAGAGGATTTGCAGTGATGCTTTTCATTTCTGTTATCTGTATGACCTCTATTTTGATTTTTCAGCTAAGCTGTTTCGATTTTTCTAGAGATAATGTCTTGTGAAGTTTGTTTATTATTGCAAACTTTTGATATATAGATTCAACATTGAAGTTCTATAGGTATAATGTTGAATTTATGTTATATATATATAGACACACACACACACACACCAGGTAGTAGATTGACCAAAAGGATTTTACATAGTCCATGATTTATCCATATTTTGCATAACTCAAGAATCCAGATGTCAATGCTAATAATCATGAATCAATGTTAAAAGTCAAGAGTTTTTCTAGTGGGAAAAGGAATTTAATTTTCGGAGTAGCTATAATGCTTTTCGATGTACAGGACAGAGAATAGCAGAATGTGACCAACAGGAGAAGAGAGGAGGACTTGCTATAACATCTTTCATTTCTGTTACCTTTGTGAGCTCTGTTATTGATTTTCTGCATAAGGTCTATGTTTTATCTTGATTTTGTCCTTTAGAAGTTTTGCAATCATTACAAAATAACAACCTTAGTTTTCTATCAGGTTGAACAATTAAGGTTGGAAAATATTTTCAGCCCATGCAAGAGCAGTTACATCCAAGAAGTTTTCCCTTAATGAACTTCACACTTTGAATGTTGGATCGATTATGCAGCATGTTAGGCAGCTTCT